TCTGATCCATTCCCCACAGTCCACCTCGGGTCTTCTACATAAAAAGTCCCCAGTCTAGGTTTTTCCTTTTTTTTTTCTTTTTGAGGATTTTCTCTGAGGTTGTTTTCCAGGAGTTTCAGAGTTTCCCGTTCTAGATTTACACCTGTGATCAATTTCGAGTTAATTTTTATAGCAGATACTATGGTCTGAGCCTAAAGTCGCCTTTGTATGTGGATATGCGGGCACCATTTGAGAAAAGTGAGACTGGCTGTTGCTATGTGAGTCTGTTCTCTGTTCTGCTCCAGTGACAGTCACATTCTTTCCTGCACCATTGCCCTCCCTCTTGGTGACTGTACCTTTAAATAGTAAGTATTGACGTTGTTGTAGAATATGACTTTAAGGTGTGTTGCTTTTGTTTATGCTGCATTTGTTTGACTCTGTGAAGCTGTGTCTTTGCCTGTCTTAAAAAGAGCTGAATGGCCAATAGGAGGCAGGAGCAAGGATAGGTAGGGATGGTAGGCAGAGAAGATAAATAGGAGAAAACTGGGAAGAGGAGGAAGGAGCCAGAGAGAACAAGGAGAGGAGGATGTCAGGGGCCAGTCACACAGCCAGCCATGGAATAGGAGTGAAAGTAAGATATACAGAAGTAAGGAAAGGAAAAATCCCAGAGGCACAAGGTAGGTGGCAAGAAACAAGCCAAGCTCAGGCTGGGCATTTATAAGAAACAATAAGCCTCCATGTGATTGCTTGTTTTCTTGTAGGGAACTTGACCCCTCTGGCTTCTACAATCCTTCCTACCCCTCTTCTGCAGGATTCCCAAGCTCTCCCTAATGTTTGGCTGTGGGTCTCTGCATCTGTTTCTATCAGTTAGTGGATGAAGCCTCTCTGATGACCATTGGGCTAGGCACCAATGAGTGTAGCAGAATATCGCTAGGCAGCATTACATTGACTTCTGGTTAGTCATGTTTGGTTCTATCCTAGGCCTCTGGGCTATCCACTGCTGAGTCCTGGCGCTCTACTCAGTGTTAGAGGTGGCTTCCTCTTCTGGCATGGGGCTCATGCTGGACCAGTCATTGGTTGGCCTCTCCCAAAATCTCTGCGCCACCTTTGCCCCAGCAGGTCTTGTAGGCAGGACAAATGTTATGTGACTGGGTTAATGTCCCAATCCCTCCACTGGAAGTCCTGCCTGGTCACGGTCACAGGAGATGGCCAGTCAGGCTATCTATCCCCTACTGCTAGGAGTCATAGCTAGGGTCACCCTTGTAGATTCCTGGGATTTTCCATTGTGCTAGGTTGTTTTTTTGTTTTTCTCAAGACAGAGTTTCTCTGTAGCTTTGGGGTCTGTCCTGGAACTCACTCTGTAGACCAGGCTGGCCTCGAACTCACAGAGATCCGCCTGCCTCTGCCTCCCGAGTGCTGGGATTAAAGGCGTGCGCCACCAACGCCCGGCCCCAGTGCTGGTATTAAAGGCGTGTGCCACCACTACCTGGCTTCCATTACACTAGGTTTCTGCCTCACCTAAAATGCCCCCCTTTTCCAGTGGTCTCTTCCAGTTCTCTCCACCTCATCTTCTCTGCACCTAATCCCTCCTGTTCCCGTCCCCACCTGCCCCAATCCACCTGAAAAATCTCTTCTATTTCCCCTTCCCAGGGAGATTCAAGCACTCCCCCTTGGGCCCTCTTTGTTACCTAGCCTCTCTGGGTCCGTGGACTGTAGCTTGGTTCTCCTTTACAGCTAATACCCACTTATGAGTGAGCACATACCACGGTTGTCTTTCTGTGTCTGGGTTACCTCACTTTATGATTCTTCTCTAGTTCCATTCATTTGCATGCACATTTCATGATGTCATTGGTTAACAGCTGCCTTGGTTTACCTGGGTGAGGAATGGAGCTGTCATTCTCACTAAGCTGTACGAGGTGTTTCTGGGGCAGCTGTAACGGATAAAGAGCTGGCAGGGTTCAGTTCCTGCTGGCTGTCAGGTGGGCTGCTGTCCCTTTCCCCGGGGCCTCTCCACAGAGCAGCTGGAAACATGGTAGCTGCTCTGTTAGACCAAGGAGGGAGCCATCGGGCAGTGTCCTAAAAATGCAACCTCATTTAAGAATTGTGAGATGGTCCTTGAATACAGTGACTGGTGTCCTTGTAAGATGAGGGTACACAGACACATGTACAAGGTAATATAATGATGGATATAGAGACCAATCAAAGGACATCCGGATTGCTGGCCGTCACCAAGAGCTTAAGTCCGGTGCTGCTCCTGAAGAGCCTGCAACAGCCCTTGGAAACCAGTGGCAGCCAAATCCCAGAAGCAGCACCCATCTTTTGCCATATTCTCATGGTTAGAAGGAAGTTAGCAGGTCCAGGCCAGAGCTATGAACAGCGGGCGGCAGGGCTGTCATTGGAGCCCTAGAAGTCAAGTGCTACAATCTGTATGCAACACCATTTCCATTCTCCCATGGACATCCAGGCTGCTTCCAGCTTTTCACCATGACAGGAGTGCGGACAGCATCCTTGGAGTATATCCTCTAGTGAGCATTTGTAAGTCTCTCTAGGGTAAAAATGGAGCCGCTGAGTTGAGGGTTCATTTTTTCCAGATTGCTCTCCAAAGTGGTGGTAACAATCCAGTTTCCACTACTGATGTGTAGGGAGTTTGTTTTTTCATATTCTCCTGTTTGCTGTGGTCAGTTCTAGAACACGTTAATCCAAAAGGCCTTTGTGATATGTAGCCATTTTACAGATATTCTGGGTGTATACGGCTTCTGAGGATCATCTCCAAATCAGGCCATGTTCTCTAGCCTTATTTACATCTTTCCTAGAAAGCTCCTGGATAGCTTTTAGTATAATTTAGTATAATTTTAAGACTTTCTGGTTTACACAGATCTCTTGTGTCTGCACACATTAGTCACACACATGCTTCCTCTATTACCCTTTTCAGCTTATGTCCCCACCCTACTCCGTGTCTTCTAATGGCTGTGTCTTGGCTTATCTCTTCTCTCCCCAGTCATTTTGAGTTCTGTCCTTTGACAACTTCCCCAGGCTTTCCTGGTGAGTGACAAGGACAATAATCTGTCTTGACCTCTACCATTTACCTTCTCTTTCGTGCCTGCTTTCCTCCGTTGCTGCTGTCACTGCTACAGCCCTAACCACACCCTCTCTCTGTCTCTCTCTCACATACACACTCTCAACAGTCTTTTTCATACATACACTCTCTCACAGTCTTCTCACACACATACACTTTCTCTCACAGTCTTCTCACACACATACACTCTCTCTCAGTCTTCTCACACATACACTCTCTGTCTCTCCACACACGCTGTCTTTCTGTCTCTCTCTCACACACACAGTCTCTCTCTCACACACTCATACACACTGTCTCTCTCACATGTACATTCTCACACACACACTGTCTCTCTCATACATACACTGTCTCTCACACACACTCATACACACACTGTCTCACACATGTACATTCTCACACACACTCTGTCTCTCACACACACATACTGTCTCTCTCACACATACACATTCTCACACACATACTGTCTCTCACACACACTCTCTGTCTCTCTCACACACACATACTGTCTCTCTCACACATACACATTCTCACACACATACTGTCTCTCACACACACTGTCTCTCTCACACACACACATTCTCACACACATACTGTCTCTCACACACACTGTCTCTCTCACACACACATTCTCACACACACACTGTCACACACACACTCTCTGTCTCTCTCTCACACACACACACACATTCTCACACACACACTGTCTCTCTCACACACACACACACACTCTCTGTCGCTCACTCACTATGGTCCTTTTCTTCTGGTTGTCTCTTTACTGGCTCTGGCCTCTGAAGAGCATCTTTAGCATCTTCACAGGAGCTCTCCTGAGCTGCGTCTGTGTGTCTGAAGTTACCCATGCTCACTTTTGCATACCAGCGTAGCTAAGGAAGCCGGTCTGGGTTGGGAGCTCCCTTTGTTTTGGGACCGGAAGCCTTTGGTCTTTTGGCAGCTGAGACCCCCCAGTGGCAGTCTCTAGTTCCTCACAAGGGGTCCATCTTTTCTCTCCTTGAGCTCCATGTTGTGCAGCTGGCCACGTGTGGGTTTGTCTTAGGCATTGCGGGAGTTTGGAACCTTTGGGAGGTGGAAGAGACTTTAGAGTGGGGTCTTCTGGCTTGGAAGGGCTTGTTCCAAAAGAGCATGCTAGGAATCTCTCCTCCTTCCTCACTCAGTTCTCCATCCAATGTGCTGCCGACGCCCAGGTGTGGACTGAAACCTCAGTGACAGTGACACTTAGGTGCGCAGCACCTCATCTCTGCGTCTTAGCCTTTGTGGAACTGCTATGTTTGTTTGTTTCCCAGACTTTAGAACAATGGTTCTCAACCTGTGGGTCTTGTCCCCTTTGGGGATCATTTATCAGATATCCTCCATATCAGATATTTACATTACAATTCATAGCAAAATTACAGTCATGAAGAGGCAACAAAAATAATTTTATGGTTGGGGTCACCACAACATGAGGAACTGTATCAAAGGATCGCATCACTGGCAATGCTGAGAACCACTGGGCTAGAATGTCTCATGCGGGTCTTTTCAGATCTGTTCTTTTAAAAAATATTGTGTTTACTTTGTAATTCTTACTGCTTCTTTAACTCTTCAAAAATTTTAGGATTGCTCATCTCGAAGTCTTCTCACTGTTTTGTTAGCAGCTTTTGTGGTGAGAATCTGTAGCCTCTGAGCCCATGGCAGCGGAAGTTGCTTGTGGGCTCCATTTCCTTTTCTTCCTTGGCACTGGGAGGGAAGATCTGATGTTCCTCCCTCGCTCGGCCTGCAGTTATCTTCATACAGGATAAAGACCTGTTGTCCTCCACGAGGACTCATGGTCAAACTGAAGAGCTGTCCACAGCCCCTGGAAAGTTGTTTAGTTGCTGGTTTGTTCTATGAAATGTCTACTCCTAATTTAGAAAGATTATTATTAGTCAATAGCAAAGAAATGGCAACAAATGACTTCTTAAAAACAAATAGTTTAATTTCATCCAGGAAAAGAAATACAAGTTTAAGATGAAACCAACACTCCACATGTCATTGTCATCTTTATAATATTATGCTCATTAAAAACATGAAGAGATATTGCCTTTATGCATTTCTAGAATCAAATATCCCATGTTAGCTATAAAATATCAACCACTAAATATCTCGGTTTGCTTTGTTTTTATAGGGCATATTTTATAGAAATGGTACAAAATAAGGCAGGCTCTTAGAAATTCAATTATAAAATTTTAGGAAAAAATGGTGATATCCACATTTTTTCTCCAACAAGGCACCTCCACAACCCCAGAGATCACAGCTGCTGCTCAGAACCAGGTCTACAGATGTGGCCTCTCTGTTGCACACTAGAGTAAGACCCAGTGCGAAAGCCTTCCCCATGACATCAATGAGAAGAGTTTAACATTTCTACACTGTGCTAAATTATATCATTTTAAATCTGCATTATGAAAATAAGTCTGTGCACCAAGTCATAAACACTTAATGAGAATGAATTGTGAATTCGGTTGTGGCATCTGAAGGTGGCTTTGGCTTTGAAATATTTTTAAATTCATAGAAAATGTCAAACTTCTAATAAAATAAATAAAACATTTAATAATTGGGATAATCAACCTTAAGTTTATCTCATTTGTTCATGGATTTCAGACACAAGTCACTTCCAGTAGTGTTCCAAAATGAGCATCTGCGCCTCCAGAGACTGGCGACAAGCCGCCTCGGCTGTTCTGCAGGCTGGAGGATGGTGGAGGCACCTCTGCAGGGCTCCAGGCTTGCGGTAGCCAGAGTCTTCGGCACCTTACTAAGGACCTGCAGCAAGTGCGTGCGATGGCAGCAGATGGTGCCACCGAAGGTTGACATCCCCGTGTCTGCTCACAGGCCCTGCAATGAGGGGATAGCTCTGCCTAACATTGGAAGACTAGGAAACTGCAGAAGCCAGGAAGGACAGAGCCTCAGGCCAGACGTGTACCCACGCTATTCTGGAGGGGGACGGAGGCTGCGCAGCTTCTTTTCATCCAGGGCTTTCCAGTACTTGAAGTTGTCGTCTAGGTGCTGCATAAGGTCAGGTAGGTCAACGAAGGCTGGAGAGAGAGGGGGGAATGCACTGTGTCACACAGCCTTGCTTTCTGGGTTTGGGCTTCCTCATTTTCTTTCTTGGGCCTTCTACCACAGAGCTACACCCTGGCCCAAGCATTTTAAGAAGGACTGAAGGAAGTCAGAGTTATGCCAAGCTCTGGGGAGAATGATCTAGAGGGAAACTTGGCATCAGCTCTGCATCCCCTCCCCTGACTGCAGCCCTCGGAGCATAGGGAACTGGGAACATCCTTGAGACTCTCTTCTGGGTACCTCTTATTTGACAGGCTCTTTACCCTCTGGGATGGCTTCTGTCTCTGTTCCACCTGGCAGTCTAAGTCCCAGGTGCTACTTACCACCTAACTAGCAAGGTAAGGAAGGCGTCAGGTTCCTTACCATCCCAGGCATCAAACATGTCTGTGATGAAGTAGTCAATGAAGGAGATCTGAGACTTGGGAATGCTGCAGGTGTTTCTGTCAAAAACTGGCATCACCACAGGCAAGTCCAGCTGTTTCTCTTCATCAGTCTGCAAAGCAGAACAGCCCATGATCTCAGAACCCCACCCTACCACGGAGCAGCCCCATAGGCTGACAGCCCATGTAGCACTAGCCAAGCAAACACGATCTGCCAGACACCATGCTGTTCTAAGAGGGAGGACATCCCAAACCAACCCAAGCATTTTCAATAGCAGGAAGTCATCCCGTCCCCCCATTCCCATCTCCCCCTCTCCCAACATTCTGCAGGTAAGAGTTCAGAGCATAGCTGGCACCTGCCTCTGCTGGTCCTGTCACTATCCACAAATATCCAACATGCCCACACTGGTGCCATAAGAAATAAGGAATCAACACAGCTCCCTGTCCCAGAAAGGGCTAGTGGCCATTTCTCAGCTATGACTGTGCTGTCTTGTTGGGAAGACTATGAATAGACCTATTAACTAGTAAGGAGGTGGCATCAATCCTAAAAACTTCCCATCAGAGAAAAGGTAGGAGCAAATATTGCACTTGTAAATTCTAACCAAAGTTTAGAAAGTCAAAACAATCTTTTCCAAACTCTTCAAGATTAAAAAAAATCCAAGAGAACATTTCTAGTTCATCCTAGAAAGCCAACACACCCTAATAAAAGACACAGACACTGAAAACTAACACCACAGACCAATATCCTTGCGGACATTGATTAAAATCCCAAACAGGATACTGGCACAAACTCAGCATGTTAGAGGAACTCTGTATGTCTGTGCATTTCCTGAGGCATGCTTCACCACATGGAAATCAGCCACCGTGTTAACAGAATAGACAAGCAGGTGTGGTGGGGTTAAAGACTTAGTACATGAGGCAGGAGGATTACTCTGACTTCAAGGCCATCAACTTTGGCTGCATAGTGAGTTCCAGGACAGCCTGAGCTACAGAGTAAGATACTGCTTAAAACAAAACAAAACAAAACAAAGGTGGGTCTTGGGATGTACGGTGCCGACGGCAGCTGTCGAGCATGCGGCTCTGGGATCTCAGGGCCAAACAAAACACGCATGATGGCGTCTCTAAGTCCAGTACTCAAGGAGCCGAGGGCAGAAGGGGAGGCCAGCACTAGGCAGCGGTGTACAATGTGTACATGTGAATCACTCAGAAAGCAGGGAGACCGTAAGGGTGATGCCAGCCTGTAACGTTATAGTGACGGGGAAGCTTGTGGTCAGCACGGTGGCAGGAGCACTTTCTGCAGCTTGGCTGGTGTCTGCTCCACGCTGCCGCCAGCATTAGATGTTGTCAAGTGTCCTGGTTGTGTGTGTGTTGTTGTTTTGAGTCAGAAGATCATATATAGCTCAGGTTACAATGGAACTCAATAGCTGCTGCTGAATTCCTAATCCTCCTGCCTCCAACTCCCAAGTGCTGGGATTCCATTTGCACACGACCACGCCTGGCCTCAGTATTTTCTACTGGTATGTGCTAGAATTTTGTTGTGGCTTTCATTTGAATTTCTCTGATGAGCTAATGTTTTTTCATGTAATTATCAGCAGTTCATACTACCTTTGGTGAGATAGCTACTGAAATATTATTTCTAGCCAGGTGACTTGTCTTACTATTGCAATGTAACCTAGGTACACACAGTCCTTTGTCAGAAATGACTTGTATTTTCTCCCAACATGTCATTTTTAGCATAACTTTTAAGCTTTAATGAAGTCTAAGGTGTATTTTCTTTTTTCCATGGCTATTGCTTTCTGTACCTAAAAGTCTCTGTCCATTTCAAAACCACTGGGGATATCTGCAGCAGTTTCTCTCGTGCCATGGTTAGGCTTTTCTAGCTAGCTGATGAGCCCACTGTGAACTGACTGTCTGTGCTCTCTCTCCAATGCCAATCAGAATCCTGGGAGAATCCCCCTTCTAAGACGTTAAAATGGATGTTCTTTAAGTTCTAGCAAGAGGTTATGAGGTCTGGCCATCTGTCAGTATAATTATTTCTAAGTAAGCTTTTGCTTTTTATTACTATTTTAACCAGCATTGTTTAAGTTTCATTTTTTGATTGTTAGTATATAAAATTAACTTGACTTTTATACATGGAGGTTATTGTCCTGTATGATCTCATTAATCAAATCTAATTATTAGGGTAATGTTATATGCCTTGGGAATACACACACACACACACACACGTTATCTGCAAATTTTAAGGTGTTATTGTTGAGAAACACTACTTTCAGGTGTGTGACTTTTGTTTATGCTGCATGTGTTTAACTCTGTGAAGCTGTGTTGCTGTGCTTGTCTAAAACACCTGATGTTCCTAATAAAGAGCTGAACGGTCAATAGCGAGGCAGGAGCAAGGACAGGCGGGGCTGGCAAGCAAAGGGTAAATGGAGGACTAAGGAAGGAGGAGCAGGGAGAGACAAGGAGAGGAGGACTTCAGGGCCAGCCACAAAGCCACCCAGCCACCCATGGTGTAAGTAAGATTTACAGAAATAAGAACAGGAAACGCTCAGAGGCAAAAGGTAGACAGAATAATTTAAGAAAAGCAAACTAGAAACAAGACAAGCGAAGGCCAGACATTGTAAGAATAAGCCCCCGTGTGTGATTCATTTGGGAGCTGGGTAGCAGTCTCCCCCAAAAGAGAGAAAATAACATGTAGTAATGATACTCTATATACTTTGTCCTCCCTTGTGCAATGCAGTGGCTGGAAAGGCCGACAGTGTTGAGCGGTGTGGTAAGAGCAGGCTCCAGCTTTGTTTCCATTACTAGGGCAACATCAAGGGGCTGGATATAACATAAGCACTCAGGAGCCAAGGGCCAGCCTGATCTACCTAGAGATTCTGGATACCAGGACCACACAAAGATCCTGTCTCCAACAAGGTAATTTCCTTCTATTCCTAGTGTGCTGAGTGTTCCTGTGATGAATGGATGCTGAGTTTGGTCAAGCCTCTTCTGTAACTGGAGCAACAGCTCTAAGACTCTGCTCTATCACTGCAGGACTCTGGTGAACCACTGAAATAAGAGACCAGCCTTGCATGCCTGGGAACAGGCCTTCTAGGTGATCCTCTGTGCTGTTGGACTCTGCTTCTCTACACTCGTGGTCTTGAGAAAGACTGTGGTGTCCTGTGGCACCGCCTTTGTGTGGCATTGACAATGGGTAAGAACTGTCTCCTTTCCCTTCTCAGATAATCTCTAAGGCTGGCTTGATTCTGCCACACATGTTCAAATCCTCTCTATTTTCACCAGTATCTTTTTTTATATTGAGTAATTTTTTTCACATTTTTCTATTTAAATTAGAAAGAAGCCTGCTTCATATGTCAATCCCACTTCCCTCCCCCTCCAGTCACCAGGGAGAGTGAGGCACTCCATGGGGGAATCCCCAAAGTCTGTCATATCATCAGGGGCAGGGTCCAGGCTGAGAGAGCATCCCTCCACGTGGAATGGGCTCCCAAAGTCCATTCATATGCCAGGAATAAATACTGATCCACTACCAGAGGCCCCATAGATTGCCAAGGCCTCCTCACTGATATCCACATTCCGGGGGTCTGGATCAGTCCCATGTTGGCCTCTCAGCCATCAGTCTGGGGTTCATGTGCTCCCCCACTGTTCAGGTCAGCTGCTTCTTGGGCTTCACCAGCCCAGTATTGACCCCCTTGCCCATCACTCCTCCCTCTCAGCTCTGGGTTTCAGGAGTTCAGTTCAGTGTTTAGTTGCATCACCAATGTCTTAAGCTGTAGACTGTAGGTGACTGATTGTGCTGATAGTTAGTGCATACACACTATGGTTATGGGCCCTTTCTCATTAGGAAATATGTGGTGATATTTTGTTTATGATCTAATAAACCCTGCCTGGAGATCAGAATGCAGAGCTAGCCACAGCCATAGAGGTCAGGCAGTGGCGGCACACACCTTTAATCCCAGCAGCCACACTAGTTAGTCATAGAGGTTGGGCAGTGCTGGTGCAGTTGAATCCCAGGAGCTCAGGGTCTGACTGTATTCATTGGGCGTTTAGTCTCTGGCCACGCTGAGGACAGGACTGCCTCCCTTTTGGTCTTATAGATGTAAGAAGTCTTTAGTGGCTTTGCTTTTTTGATCTTCAGCTTTAATCCCAACATCTGTTTCTGGGTTTTTATTAATTGTATATCAGAAATGTCCTATTTCTGGAAGTTCCCTGTCTTGATGTCTTTTGTCTGAAATTGATAAGGCTGTTCTAGTCTTACGTTTATAATTTTCACACTATACTTGTATGGGTCCACCATCTTTGTTCTTTATATTTAATATATTTTCTAGTCTGCCCATAGTTGAGCTTTTTGTTCTTATTTTGCTTGGTTTTGGAGGCAGGATGTCACCATGTAGCTGTCCCTGATTCCTGTCTCAGCCTCCCACGTGCTGAGATTACTGGCATGTATCACCATGCCCCACCTCATCTGTTCTGACGAATGTTCTTTTAGTGGGAGTGTTTACCTTATAACATTTGATGGAATTGAATTTAATATTGCTGTTCTGATTAGGTAGAACTACTATTTGTATTTACTTCCCTACCTTCTTGGTATAGAGAGGCCTGTCCTATCAAGCTATGACTGCTGTGGGATGACACCCTGCATTCTCGGTGTTTAACTCAACACTGCCACACTTCATAGAAATGTAGACACAAGGCCGTTCATTCCTTCTATATCCCCTTTCCTATCATATTACTTACAGTATTGACCCAATCAAATGTTGAGAACCTTTGCTTAAAATAATCCTAGGTCTAAATACAGAAGTTTTATATAGCTACCAGGTATCGACCATTTTTTTGATACTTTTTTTTTTTTTTGGTTTTTGCGAGACAGGGTTTCTCTGTATTGTTTTGGAGGCTGTCAGTCCAGCCCAGCCTCGAACTCACAGAGATCCGCCTGCTTCTGCCTCCCGAGTGCTGGGATTAAAAGCATGCGTCACCACCGCCTGGCTGATACTTTTCTTGTATCTTGAAGAGTCAAGTTTACATCTGTGATCACTTCCTTTCTACATTTTTTTTTCCAAGACGAGTTTCTCTGTAGCTTTTGCAGCCTGTCCTGAAACTCACTCTGTATACCAGGCTGGCCTCGAACTCACAGAGATCCTGAGTGCTGGGGCTAAAAGCATGCACCACAACCACCCAGCTTTCCTTTTTACTTTAAGAACTTCTTTTATCCGGCGACCCCAACTTCAGGTGAGCTTGGGTCTCCCTGGGGACAGACCCCATTGCCCGCCCATCAGCCATTCCTTCAATCTTCCAGGGACCTGCTCCTGGCATCCAGAGGACCTGCCCACACAGGAAAGACATCAGTCCTTCCAGACCCTAACCTCTGGTGACCCCAGCTTCAGCGTCCAGAAAGAAGGAGACCAGTGGAGACAGAAAGACCCCACCTGCACCCACTGGAATAAGAGATGGGAAGAAGACAGAATAAGAGCTCACTCAGCAATAGAAAGACCAACATGACTCCACCAGAATCTAGAGACCCAATGCCAGCAAGACCTGAAAAGCACTACTTAGACGAAGCAGAAGAGACAGACCTTAAAAATTATTTTATGATGATGATAGAGACCCTCAAAGAGGAAATGAGGAAATCCCTTAAAGAAATAGAAGAAAAAAACAAACAAAAAATACATGAAATGGCGAACCAAAAAATTCAAGAAATAAACACATCTCTCAAAGAATCTAAAGAGTACCAAGAAAAAACAACCAAACAAATGAAGGAAACAACTCAAACAGTTGAAGGGTTGAAAGCTGAAATAGAAACAATAAAGAAAACACAGAATGAGGGGATGCTGGAAATAGAAAAGCTGGGTAAATGATCAGGAACTACAGATACAGATGCAAGTATCACCAATAGAATACAAGAGATAGAAGAGAGTATCTCAGGTGTTGAAGACTCATTAGAGGATATACAGTCATCAACCAAAGAAAACCTCAAAACCAACAAATCCCTAACACATAATATCCAGGAAATATGGGACACTGTGAAGAAGCCAAACCTGAGAATAATAGGTATAGAAGAAGGCGAAGAAATACACAGAAAACATATTCAACAAAATCATAGAAGAAAGCTTCCCTAACCTAAAGAAGGATATGCCTATGAAAATACAAGAATCTTACAGAACACCAAATAGGCTGGACCAGAAAAAGAAGTTACCTTACCGTATAATAATCAAACCTATAGAATAAAGAGAAAATATTAAGAGCAGCTAAAGAAAAAGGCCAAGTAACATATAAAGGCAGACCTATCCGAATTACACCTGACTTCTCAATGGAAACTATGAAAGCCAAAAGATCCTGGACAGATGTCCTACAAATGCTAAGGGAACAAGGATGCCAGCCTAGGCTATATCCAGGAAAGCTTTCAATTACCATAGATGGAGAAAACAAAATATTCCATGACAAAGCCAGATTTAAACAATACATATCCATGAATCCAGCTCTACAGAAAGTGCTGGAAGGAAAACCTAGACCCAATGAAGATAACTACACTCACAAAGACACAGGTAATAGATGATCCTACTTTACCAAACACCAAAAGAAAAAGGGAGAAGAAGCTACACACAATAACTCCACTACCAATAAATCAAGCACAAACAAGAATCATCAATCAATGTTCATTAATGCCCCTCAATGTCAACGGTCTCAATTTGTCTATAAAAAGACACAGACTAGCAGAATGGATACGAAGACAGAACCCATCCTGCTGCTGCATATAAAAAACACATCTCAATGTCAAAGACAAATGTTACCTCAGAGTAAAGGGTTGGGAAAAGATTTTCCAATCAAACGGACCCAAGTAACAAGCAGGTGTAGCAATCCTAATATCTAACAAACTAGACTTCAAATTAAAATCAAAAGAGATGAAGGACATTTCATATTCATCAAAGAAAAAGTCCATCAAGATGAAGTCTCAAGTTTTGAACATCTATGCCTCAAATACAAAGGCACCCACATTCGTGAAAGAAACATTACTAAAGCTCAAATCACACATAAAATTTCACACACTAGTAGTAGCAGACTTCAACCCTCTGCTCTCACCGCTAGACAGGACCTCCAGACAGAAACTTAACAAAGAAACAAAAGAACGAATAGAAGTTATGACCCAACTGGGTTTAACAGACATCTATAGAACATTCTACCCAAACACAAAGGGATATACACCTTTTTCTTGGCGCCACATGGAACCTTCTCTAAAATTGACCACGTAATAGGAAAGATAGCAAACCTCCACAGATACAAAAAAATTGGAATAACCCCCTGTATCTTATCAGACCACCATGCATTAAAATTAGAATTCAATAATAACACAAATCGCAGAAATCCTACAAACTCATGGAAATTGAACAATGCACAATTGCACCATCCCTGGGTAAAGGAAGAAATAAAAAAAAAATTAAAGACTTCCTGGAATCCAATGAGAATGAAAACACAACAAACCCAAACTTATGGGACACTCTGAAAGTAGTGCTGAGAGGAAAGTTCATAGCACTAAGTGTCCACATGAAGAAACCGGAGAACAGTCACACTAAAGAATTAATAGCACAGCTGAATGCTCTAGAACAAAAAGAAGAATACTCACCCAGGAGGAGCAGACACCAGGAAATAATCAAATTGAGGGCTGAAATCAATCAAGTAGAAACCAGAAAAACACTGAGAAGAATCAATGAAACAAGGAGTTGGTTCTTTGAGAAAAATCAACAAAATAGACAAACCTCTGTCCAAACTAACCAAAAGACACAGAGAGAGAGCATGCTAATTAACAAAATTAGAAATGAAAAGGGGGACATAACAATGGACACTGAGGAAATCCAGAGAATCATCAGGGCATACTTTGAAAATCTGTACTCCCCAAAATTCGAAATTTAAAGGAAATGGGCAATTTTCTGGATAGCTATCACTTGCCAAAACTAAATCAAGAGCAGATAAACAATCTAAACAGACCAATAACCCTTAAGGAAATAGAAGCAGTTATCAAAAGTCTCCCAACCAAAAAAAGCCCAGGCCCAGATGGCTTCAGCGCAGAATTCTACCAGAAATTCAAAGAAGAGCTAATTCCAATACTCCTCAAAGTATTCCACACAATAAAAGTGGGAGGCTCACTACCAAACTCTTTTTACGAGGCTACAATTACCTTGGTACCCAAGCCACACAAAGACACAACTAAGAAAGAATTATAGACCAATTCCCTCATTATCATCGATGCAAAAATACTCAATAAAATACTAGCAAATCGGATTCAAGAAGACATCAGAAAAATCATTCACCATGATCAAGCAGGCTTCATCCCAGGAATGCAGGGATGGTTCAATATTAGAAAATCTATCAATGTAATCCACCATATAAACAAACTGCGAAAGAAAAACCACATGATCATCTCACTAGATGCTGAAAAAGCCTTTGACAATATCCAGCACCCCTTCATGATAAAGGTCCTAGAGAGATCAGGGATAACAGGAACATACCTGAACATAATAAAAGCAATATACAGTAAACCAACAGCTAACATCAAACTAAATGGAGAGAAACTCAACGCAATTCCTCTAAAATCAGGAACAAGACAAGGTATTGCACTTGAAATTCTAGCTACAGCAGTAAGACAACAAAAGGAGATCAAGGGGATACAAATAGGAAAAGAAGAAGTCAAGCTTTCACTATTTGTAGATGATATGATAGTTTACATATAGTTCTGCAAGGGAACTCCTAGAGCTGATAAACACCTTCAGCAATGTGGCAGGATACAAGGTTAACTCAAAAAAATCAGTGGCCCTATTATATGCAGATGATAAAGTGGCTGAGAAAGAAATCAGAGAAACATCACCCTTTACAATAGCCATAAACAGCATCAAATATCTGGGGATAATGTTAACCAAAGAAGTGAAAGACCTGTATATCAAGAACTTTGAGTCTTTAAAGAAAGAAATCAAAGAGGATACAGAAAATGGAAAGATCTCCCATGCTCTTGGATTGGTAGGATCAACATAATAAAAATGGCAATCTTGCCAAAAGTAGTCTACAGATTCAATGCAATCCCTATCAAAATTCCGGCACAATTCTTCACAGACATTGAAAGAACAATAATCAACTTTATATGGAAAAACAAAAGGCCCAGGATAGCCAAAACAACCCTATACAATAAAGGAACTTCAGGAGGCATCACCATCCCTGACTTCAAGCTCTATTATAGAGCTATAGTCCTGAAAACAGCTTGGTATTGGCACAAAAATAGACAGGTAGACCAATGGAACTGAATTGAAAACCCTTTTAACCCACACACCTATGAACACTTGATTTTTGACAAAGAAGCTAAAACTATACAATGGAAAAAAGAAAGCATCTTCAACAAATGGCGCTGGCATAACTGGGTATTGGCATGCAGAAGACTGCAGATAGATCCTTGTCTATCGCCTTGCACAAAACTTAAGTCCAAATGGATCAAAGACCTCAACATAAATCCAACCACACTGAAAACTCTTAGAAGAGAAAGTGGGAGGTACCCTTGAGAGAATTGGTACAGGAGACTGCTTCCTGAACATAACACCAGTAGCACAGACACTGAGATCGACAATTAACAAATGGGACCTCCTGAAACTAAGAAGCTTCTGTAAGGCAAAGGACACCGTCAACAAGACAAAAAGGCAGCCCACAGAATGGGAAAAGATATTCACTAACCCCACATCTGACAGAGGGCTAATCTCCAAAATTTACAAAGAACTCAAGAAGCAAGTCTCCAAAACACCAAAGGATCCAATTAAAAGGTGGGGTACAGAACTAAATAGAGAATTCTCAATAGAGGAGGCTAAAATGGCCAAGAGACACTTAAGAAAGTGCTCAACATCCTTAGCCATCAGGGAAATGCAAATCAAAACAACTTTGAGATACTATCTTACTCCTGTCAGAATGGCTAAAATCGAAAACAATTTATGCTGGAGAGGATGTGGAGAGAGGGGAACACTCCTCCACTGCTGGTGGGAGTGCCAACTTGTACACCCACTTTGGAAATCAGTATGGAGATTCCTCAGGAAAATGGGAATCAATCTACCACAAGACCCAGCAACTCCACTCTTAGGCATATAGCCAAAAAATGCTCATTCATACAAGGATGTCTGTTCCACTATGTTCATAGCAGCATTATTTGTAATAGCCAGAACCTGGAAGCAACTTAGATGCCCCTCAACTGAAGAGTGGATAGAGAATATGTGGTACATTTACACAATGGAGTACTACTCAGCAGAAAAAAAAAAAAAAAAAACAATGGAATCTTGAAATTTGCAGGTAAATGGATGGCACTAGAAGAAACCATCCTGAGTGAGGTAACCCAGTCACAAAAAGACAAACATGGTGTGTACTCACTCATATATGGATTTTAGACATGGATCAGGATAGTGCCAGTCTGCACTTCCACTGACAGAGAGTCTGGGAAACAGGAAAGAACCTAAAAGAAATGCATGGTACCCCAGAGAAGAGGAATGAAGCAAGATCTTCTGAACAGATTGGGAACACCGTGAGGGGGGAGGAGTGGGAGCTGGGAAGGAGAGGGGGGGAGAAGAGGAAGAGAGAGTAGGTCATGGGGGAACAGGAAGGTTGAGTGGGGGGTAGAATGGGGGAAAGAGGGAGTCATAGGTTAGAAGACAGATCTGGCACCAGAGTGACCTCTAGTGATCTAAAGGGACAATACCAACTGGCAAGCTAAGCAATAGTGGAGAGACCACCTTGAATGCCCATTCCTGATAATGAACTCGATGTCTATAACCATCCTGGAGCCTTCATCCAGTGACTGATAGAAGCAGAGGCAAACACCCACAGTTAAACACTGAACTGAGCCCATGGAATCCAGTGACAGAGAGAGGATCGATGAGCAAATTGGCAAAGAACGGGCTGGCAAAACCAGCAGAGACAGCTGATCTGAACAAGGGGAGCTCTTGGACCCCAGACCAACAGCTGGGAGGCCAGCATGGGACTGATCCAGACCCCCTGAGTGTGAGAGTCAGTGAGGAGGCCTGGGCCACGTATGGGGCCCTGGGCAGTGGATCAGTGTTTATCCCTGGCATACAGACAGACATCGTGTGTCCATAACACAAAGAGGGATGCTCTCAGCCTGGACTCTTAGAGGAGTGCCTGGACCCTGCCCTGAGTGAAATGGCAGACTCTAGATATCCCCTGTGTGGAGGGAAGTGGGGATAGGGTGGGAGTCTGGGGGGGGTTGTGGAAGGAGGGGAGGGAGAGGGAACTGGGATTGACATGTGGAATGAGCTATTTAAAATTAAATTAATAAAAAAACAAAAAACAAAAAAGAACTTCTTTTAGTATTTCTTACATTGTGGGTTTACAAGTGATTTATTGTACTAGTTTCCCCTTATCTGAGAATGAGTGTATCTTGTCCTGATCCTAAACTAAAGGCTATTTCACTAAATACAGAGTTCTGGGTTGACAGTTTTCTTTTATCAACAGCCTAAACATTATGTCTCAGTGTCTTCTGGCCTCAGATGTAGTAGCCCTGACTGGCCCAGAGTTCTCCAAGGTTAGACCAGACTAGCCCTGAACTCCCAGAGATCTGCCTGCCTCTGTCTCCTAAGAGCATGGACCAAAGGTGTGTGCCACAATGCAGATTCTTGTTATGTGTCAAGCAAAGCTCTGCTGCTGGAATGCCCTCGCCCTCACTTGGCTGCTTTATCTGTGTGCATACGTCTTCTTGAAAACAAACACTTTAGCAGTTTATTTTCCTTCTGTCCCAGGATGATGTGATGGACATTGCTTTTAGGAGAAACCTGCCAACCCAGGGTTCCAAATCCAGCAATGATGTCCAAAGAATGAAGACAAAGTTACCCATTTTCAAATAAAGAACACAATTTGTCATAATAAATGTACAAAATAAGAATAGCTCTTCAAAGACAATCTCTTTAATAAAGAGTTCTCTTTCCTAGTTTTAAGTCCACAGCCTCATGGTGTCCCCCATTCCAAGTGTGAGTGTGTGTGTGTAAGTGCGTATGTTTGTGTAAAGACTTAAGATGTAGCATCTTACCTGTGAAAAATACTCCTCTGAAATTCGTGCAGCCCACTCGATGCAGTACTCTAGGGGCCGGCAGGGGTTGGACACATCGGCACACTTAATCATCATTCGTTTGATAAGAGCCCGGTTCTCTGGAGTCCTGAACATAGTGTTTATGGCTTCCTGATTTTTGTCAGTTTCCTGAACCACAAATGAAATCAAAGCAATCAAATAGGTCCCTTCAGGCCCAACTACCTCACCTAGGGTTCTGTGAGCCAGGAAGGCTGTAGCTGGGATCTACAATGCTGAAGGGATTCTCTGTGTACTGGGGGTCTTTCTTCTACAAAGAGCAAGTTCAGCAGGACTCAGGCAGCACTGGGGACTGGCAAATCTGCCCTTTTCTTTTCTCTCTGTTTGTATTGGTAAGAACACAAAGGCTAGTTTTTATCTTTTTAGGATACTTACTTAAGAGCTCTGTGGCCCACCAGCCCCTTCTCACAGCCCAGTCTTCACCAGCTCTGTGACAGGTGTTTTGAGAACGGGCCTTCAGTGAACCCAGATCACATTGACAGACCCTCATACTGCCTTAGTATCTGTGATATACAGAGGATACAACGCCCTTTCCTTTGGATCTGTATTCACAAAGACTCTGGGATCTGAGGAAAAGTATCATTACGTTATAATTACAAACAAGGGCAAGGGTCAGGGTGAGGTGACTTGTCCAAAGCATCCCCGCTGAGCCTCAGCTTCCTCCTCTACACTGTCCTCTGCCTCGAGGTCTGCCCTCCCCTTTCTATGGCCAAGGTATTAACAGAAATTCACACCTGCTCCACACCAGGCAGCTCCTACTAGTGCCGCCCTTGCTGGGCAGCTGCAGACCCCATATCCCGAATCCAGAAATGAGGGGTAACGATACCGTCACTCTGGTGATCCCAGCAGAGGATCCTTCCCAGCCCTTCTCTGCAAGGACAGCCGCTGCTACCACAGAATACACCCACTGCAGAGTGGCTGCTAAGTGCCCTCTAGGAGTTGGGGTGGGGGTGGGGGTAATGGTGCACACCTATGATCCCAGCATTTGGAAGGCAGAAATACGCAGATCTCTGTGAGACTGAGCCCAGCCTGGTCTATTTACTGAATTTCAGGCCAGCCAGGGCTACATGGTTAGGGCCTGATTAAAACAATAAAATAAAAAGTTCTTTAGGGCTCCAACTGACCATAGAATGTTCAAAAAGGGAGAAACCACTTTGAGACAGGGCACAGGAATGGCCAATGTGAAAATGTGTTTACACGTCTATTTGCATGTTCTATTACATGTTCTCCTGCTAGATATTTGCATGTTAAATGATTTTTTAAAAACCAATGAAAAACAAAATTCAACCAAGTGCCATGGCTCACTCCTGTAATCCCAGCACCTGAGACAGAGATAGGAGGGTCACTGACTTCTGGGCCAGTCTGGGCTACAGAGTAAGGCCTGTCTCAGATAGGCAGGCAAATAAAGAAATCAAATGAAAGAAAGAATGGAAAATGGAAAACCAAATTCAACATGCCCCCCAAAGACCCTGCTCCTTCTGAGTTCATGGCACTGGTGAGTGGGACGCCCAGATGAAGGGTTTCAGGTTAAGTTTCTCTCACCTCATTTCCTTGGGCTTCCAAGGGCTTTCTGATGCTGTTGATAAATTTGTTGACATGTTCAAAGTGCTTTGTCATCTCTGTGGCCAGGACCATGTCGATAATACCCTGGCGTAGTGTCCGGTAGTCATTCCTGTTTCAGACGACAGACCAGTCACTGATTCAGACTAGTGGCTACAATCGGTTTGTACAAATAATCTGTTTCCCAGAAGGTATGTCCACTGCTGCTATCAGTCTAGTACACTGGGAGATGCACTTGCCTACATCACCACAAAGAAGTTCAAAAGCAGCAAACAGGCAGGGTGCTACAGCTGTGAATCACAGATAATTATGTAGTACAATGTTAACTATAGCACAATGCACATCGTTCTCAGGATAGGATAGGTTGTAGCAGGGATAAACACAGACCTTTCCCCGTCTTTCTCCCTCCTCTCTAAAGACGGTCTCATTGTGTAGTCCAGGATGGCCTCAAACCCATGACTTTCTTGTGTCAGCCTTTTAAAGCTGGGATTACAGACATGTGCCATTAGGCCAAGCAAGACTATTCTCTTTATATCCACAACCTCCACATCCACTAACAATGTGCCTTGCATGGAGGTACCTAGAGACCCAGAGAACTTCTGATAGCCCTTCCATTATCCCTCGTTTGCAAGCCATGGGCACTGTTCCAACATGGCCTCTGTTTCAGTTCCTGCTGCCAAGTTCCTACCCTGATTTCCCTCAGTGATGGACTGTTACCTGGAAGTGTAAGATGAAATAAACCCTTTCCTCCCCAAGTTGACTTTGGTCATGGGTTTTTATCACAGCACTAGAAAACCTCGGTCTCTGTAAATTATGTACTTACAAGCACATGTGAGTAAAACTTATATTAAGCCCACCTCTGGAATTCTAAGACATGATACAATGGAGCTTTATGAAATCAGGATATTCTTTTTTAAAACTCTATATAAAATTTCCTTAAAAATCCAAATTAAAGTATTTCTCATGGCTTTTTTTCCTCTCTCTTTAACTGAGCTCTACTCTGTATTAGGCACTGGGATAGACACAAATAGGAAATGGATGAACAAAAGATTCGTGACTCTGACCTGAGCTGGGGGAGTGGCGAATGCAGGCCTGCAGCTCTGTAGGACCGCCACAGGAGGGCTTCAAGTTTAAGGCCAGCCCAGCCCATGTGATGAGACCCTGTCTCCAGACATCTAGCTGGACATTAAACACTTAGTTTTTGTTGGCTGGGAATAGAGCTGAAAGGCTTGTACATGCTGGCAAGTATGTACCACTGAGCCATGCCACGTTTTAAAACCTCTTTATAAATGTGACAATGCTAAAGAAGCTGTGACTGAAAAACTTTGAGTTTCACCTTAGTATGAGGGCCAGAGAAACTTCTCCAGGGGAGTAACTTGTAAACAGACAGTGGCAAAAAGTGTGCTGTGTACAGAAGACAAAGGGGAGTGTGCCAGGCAGGGCCACGCCCTGCTTCAGTGGGAGAGCTCTGGCTCAGCATGCTCAAGGCCTCAGTTCGTCCCCAGCGTGGGGGTGCGAGGTGGATCAGCCCTGGGGGCTGAGGAGAGACGATCATGGGTTTGAGGGTGGTGTGGATCGTGTCTTGTTTTCAGTACCCATGGTGGGGACAGCAGAAGTGCTCCATGACTACACCTGCGTCGTGGTGACTTATATCTCAGCAACAGTCTGTTCTCACCTCTCCAAGTTTTTAAAGATATTGCATTTGTCATTTTCCAGAGTCAGCTGGAAGGCCAGTGCTGCATGGTGGCTCTCCAACACAGCAGTGTCATTGTACAGCACAGCCAGCTCATTCCCTGAGTTGCAGAGGAACGAGTTGGTTCTCCCAGGATGATCCACATCGTGAATGGCAGCAGCGATGAGGGCGGCGACCTCGTCAATCCGATCTAAAGTTTCCTGGAAACAAGAAGTCCTTTGAAAACCAGTGTGTATGACACCAAAACAAGTCTTCAATAGAGGCTTCTCTCTACCTTTTCACTTTAAATTACGTTTTCTCCGATTCCCGAGAGAACCACATCGTCCGAGAGAACCTTGTTTCCCTTCTCTGCAGCAGCGGTCACGGCTGCTGGAGAGCACTCTCTGACCTTCAGGTGTCCAGACCCACCGCAAAACAAGCCCAGAGCCTAGGGTTTCTGACTTAGTAACATTATGTAAGTCAAAATAAAAAACAACTTCAAAAGCAAACACTACTTATAGTAACTGGGAGCTAATCCACGTTTCCAATCCTTTTTGGTGCTATCTTTTTTAGACATAAGGAAGGGTCTTGTGAATTTTGGTAAAATGATCTGGAATTTTTCCACTGCTTCCAGGGCCCTAGAAAGGTTTATGTAGTTAAAAATGATTCCAATAGTTTTTTTTTGTTTTTTGTTTTTTGGTTTTTTACGAGACAGGGTTTCTCTGTGGCTTTGGAGGCTGTCCTAGAACTCGCTTGGTAGTCCAGGCTGGTCTCGAACTCACAGAGATCCGCCTGCCTCTGCCTCCTGAGTGCTGGGATTAAAGGCGTGCGCCACCAATGCCTGGCTGATTCCAATAGGTTTGACTCCTTCCTGTTCTTATTAATTTAAAGGCAGTGTCTCTGCATGTAACCAAGGCTAGCCTTGAACCCTTGATCTAACCTCAGCGTGCTAAGGCTGGAATTACAGATATACATCACTAGCCCAGCTTTTTATCAATTTATATACATTTTTCAAAAAAAGAAACCATCAGCTTTTACATTTTTGAGTTAATATAGATTTGTGAAGTTTTTTTATCTACCGTTTCCTTTTTCAAATTTATGTTTTCCTCATTTCTGTTTTGATACTTGATTGTCTTAATTCCAAAAGCCATTGTGGATATCATTGCCTTCCTCGAAATGTAGCCAAGGATAGCCTTGAACTTCTTGGGGGTTCTTCTCAAGAGCTGGGATTACAGGAGTATACTGCCACGCCCAGATGTGTGTGTGCACAGATGCATACATATGTGACTGAATGTGAACACATGAATGCACACATGCATGTGGAGGCCGGAGGCCACCTCAGATGTTGCCTGTCAAGAGCTATTTACTGGGACTGGAGAGATGCCCAATGGTTAGGAGCACTGGCTGCTCTTCCAGAGGATGCAGGGTCAATTCCCAGCACCCACACAGCAGCTCACAACTGTCTGTAACTCCAGTTCCAGGGGACCCAACACCCTCACCCAGACATGACTGCAGGAAAAACACCAGTGCACATAAAATAGATGAACAAACCTTAAAAAAATCTATTTACCTGCTCTTTCAGGACACATCTCTCTCACTGGGACCTGGAGCTCGATGGTTAGGCTGGCTGGCTCGTGAGGATTCTCCCTTTATCTGCCTCACCAGTGCTGACATTACAAGCACAGACCACACTACCATGCCCAACTTTTCCTGTGGGTGCCAAGTGCTTCCCCGGCTACCTCCCTAGACCAAATCACTCTATACAGTGATAGATAGGTTTTTCATTTTATTTGTTCAGGCACATGACTGCCCAAGTGAGAGCTGAACAAAGATGACACAATGTGCATGCCAAACTGAATGCGGAGAAGCCATGAGGCCTCAGCCCCACATAAAGAACTCAAGGCAACAGGAAAGTTGGAAGTAAGAGAGGTGGTCTGCCCCAGGGGAGAGGACACTGATCAGTTGTCCACTGCCAATGGTCAGCCCTGAAAACATACATACAAATAACATTTATATGGACTCAACAAGTAATATTCAGAAATATATGTTTATATGTATGTATGCAATAAAAATTGGTGGGAAAAGAGGCCATAAATTTGAAGGAGATGTATAAAGGAAGGCTTGGAGGGAGATAAGGGAAGGGAGAAATGTTGTAATTGTAATCTTAAAAAAATAAATAAAATAAAAGCTGGAGCTCAGCATGGTGGTACACGCCTTTAATTCCAGCACTTGAAAGGCAGAGGCAGGTAAATCTGAGTTTGAGGCCAGTCTGATCTATGTAATGAGACTGTGTCTTAAAAGAAAACAATTTGGGCTAGAGAGATGGCTCAGTGGTTAAGAAGACTGGCTGCTTTAATCCCAGCACTCGGGAGGCAAAGGCAGGCGGATCTCTGTAAGTTCGAGACCATCCTGGACTACCAAGCGAGTTCCAGGACAGCCTCCAAAGCCACAGAGAAACCCTGTCTCAAAAAAACCAAAAAAAAAAAAGAAGAAGAAGAAGAAGAAGAAGAAGAAGAAGAAGAAGAAGAAGAAGAAGAAGAAGAAGACTGGCTGCTCTTCTAGAAGTCCTGAGTTCAATTCCCAGCACCCACATGGTGGCTCACAACTATCTATAGTGGGATCTGATGCCATCTTCTGGCATAAGGTCATACATATAGATAGAATACTCATAAAATAATAAAAAAGATATTCAGGGGGCAGGCAGGACAGCTCAGCATGTAAAAGTCCTGGCCATCAAGCCTGACAACCTAAGTTTCATTCCAGAAACCCAGTGGTGGAGACAGTGAACTTCACAACTTATCCTCTGACTTCCATGTACAAGCTGTGGTTGTTCTCATATGTGCCTGCATGTGGGCGTACACACACACACACACACACACACACACACACACAGACTCACATACATGTGGATTCTTTAAAAAAGGATTGCATTTGGAAGTATTCTATAAATGTGAAAAAAAGGTATATATCTAATAAACTTGTCTTATAAATTAATTTCATTTAAATTCTATAGTTTTTCTTGCTCGCAGCACATATACTAAAATTGGAACAACACAGAGTAAATTAGCATGGTCCCTATGCAAGGATGACACACAAATTCGTGAAGTGTTCTATATTTTTTCTAAATATGAAATTGTACTTAATAAAATTTTATACCCCTATGTGTCAAAAATAATTCCATAGTTTTTCACTTTAGCTAGGGTGTGAATTTCAATAAATACTTTGACTATCATTTTAAGCAAGGCTTGGCTGTGTGTGTACCAGCAACTCCAGCATTTGGGAACTAGAGGCCAGAGGATAAGGTATCCAAGACCAGCCTTGGCTACACAGGACCCTGTCTCAGAACTATCTATATTGTTTTAGGCTAGCTCTGAATATATCTGTTCTAAAGCAACACACACCAGCAGATTGCCTTTTAGATGCTAAGACGCTCCCTGGTCACTTGTTTGAGGAAGCAGTCCTCTCTCTGGATTCTTACCCACCTATGGACTTGGTCTTGATCTTTCAAATATCAGAACCAGACTAGAGGTAGCTCTGTCACTTCCCAGCACGCAGCCCAGGGTTTGCCGCGACCTGGACCGCTGGCCTGTATGTCTGAGGCACAGGGTGGGGGTGTGATGAAGGGGGACTTTGTCACAGGGGTGTATCTGAAGAGCTGCAGACACCAGCCACAGGGTGTAAAGGGAGAAGGAAGCTGCTCATGGCAGTCGCAGTCAGATGGCAGCACTGTGAGAATGCCCCAGGGGGCCAAGGGAGAGGAGTGACGGGGACCTCACTGGTGGGGAAATGAGAAGGAGCTATCTGAGGTCAGACGGTCAGACGGGAAGGGGCTGAGGAGTGGGGTGGGGTGGTAATGGACAGGTGAGCATCCTAAAGAGGTTCAAATTGAAACCTCCTCTCCTCCAAAAGAACAGGCTTGTTCTGTTTGTTAGCTTTCTCCCAGTGGCTGCATGTTGCTTCTTACAGTCTCGCGGCACGGCAGAGCCTGCAGGTTAATCTACCAATCGGATTCCTTTGTGTGCCTCACATGTGCTGCACACATGTGAGGACTGGTGGTTCTATCACCACACGGTGACGGCAGCGGAAGCAGAAGCTAGACTCTCCCTACAGTTACTGTTAAAGGCAGAACACAAACATTACCTTACCTTTATTTTATTTCTGGAAAGAAAATAGGCAGTGGCATGAAGCACATCCGCAGAATGTGTGGAATTGTGGTAGGGGTTAGAAGAGTGATAATTCGTTTCAATAATTTGAAACCACGATCTCAGCGTTGCCTCAGAGCATTGTAAGAATTCACAGATTCCAAAGCGAGCAAATGTTTTGAGACCTAGATAAATCAAAGGCCTACAAAGAAAAACATCTATGATATAAAACAAAGCAAAGAACCAGTGTCTTGAGCTGGGAAGAGATTCAGGACCAACAAACAAGTCCAAGTCAAACTGCAGAGTGCCCAGGAAAGCCAGTTGGCACTTTGGGGCAGCATTCCATGTGTGTGTGGGGCAACACAACAGCTTCTGCCTTAGCCTTCTTTGAGGGTCCCCATTTGCTGGGCAAAGTTTTCCACTCTGCTTGCATCAGTACAATCTTCAGAATCATCTCATTGGCTACCTGTAATCCTACTCTCATATGTTACCATTGATGGTCTGTAAAATAGTCATTGTGACTATAAACTGGACACAGCCACATATCAGGTGACTGATCACCTCAACAATCTGGAGCCAGTGTTATAGTATAAAGGAGTAAAGGAATTTACACTGAGAAGGTGACCAGCGACCAGCAAGTAAGGCACTTTGATTTACTGGCTTGGTTTGGAAGGTTAAGAAATCTGTCCCATAGAAGTCATCTCAGAGGTCATTACAGGACTCAACCTGGTCAGCCTTAACACAGTTCTCATAGCTGTTATGGTTCTGGTATGTAAACTAGGAGCTCAGAGGCTCCCTGTCATGGGGAATGCCTATCCACTCTGCTTGGCTGTGTGAAGCGGGAGTCTCAGTGTAGTCAGCTCAGCCAGTGGGCTGAGACCAGGTGAGTCATCCCACAGCTTAGCAGAGCCATCTCTCCCCAGACCAGACCACACTCCCAGCTGGCATTGGCTGTGGAGGTCCAGTTCTATCTGCCAAGCCCCCTGTGGTTAACAGCTTTTGCTTGGCAAAACCCAAACTCCCACTCTGCAACCGTAAGCCAATGAACATAACTAGGGTGGAATGTCCATGTGCAGGCCACCAACATGGCAACCAAGATCTGAGGCTAGTTTCATCAAACGTGTAACTATTTGTTCTAGGCTTTGTGGCAGGGGACTCTTTGTTGCTACCTAATAGTACCACATACTGAGAAATAATTAGGAACCTCATATAGTACCACACACTGGAGAAATTAGGAAATTTCCATAGAAAACTGCTATCTGAGGAAGCCATCACAGCTAGGAAAACAGCCTGTGGCTCAAAGACTCAGGGAAACTTGAAGTCCCATTGCTCCTTCCTTAGCCTCTGTCCTCACCCAAGGAACAGCTCTGCATACATCAATGCTGCTTGGGTGTTTCCGTGTCCAGGCCCTGGGAAACCAGCTCAACGCACCTATTTTGGGTAGCTGCTTCCAGCTCAAAAATGTCAAAGTCCCATTGTTCTTCATTTTCTATGGCCCGGGCAATCCGTGGTGGGATGTCATGAAGGGAGATGGGGATGGAAATACTGCTTGAAGACGGCTGAAGGTCTGCAAGGTGATGTAATTTGGAAAGCAACATTAATAGGTTTGTGGCACCTGGATTAGAAACAGCTGCTTTGTTTCTGAGGCTTTGTGGCATACCCAGAACTTACTGATGAGAACAATCGTTTCCATCATTTAACCTGGATTGCAGTGATACAGTGATCTAGGAGGTTAAAAACAGAGAACTTACTTTTTGTTGCAAGGACATACTCATTTCCTGAAAACCTTCGTAGGCCATCCTGGTGAAAATCAAGGAAACAAGAAAAAAGCATGGGTTACAGCTCATCTTTCCACCTTAGATAACCTAGGTAGTCAGCCCCAGAGGCAACCCACAACAAGGATGCCCAGTCCAGCAGGCTGACCACTGTGGCCAACTCCAAATTCAGTCACTTCCTGGGTGCTGGGCTCTTTTCCTGGAACCTAGACTCAGGCAGGATTGACACCAATGAGGTGACCAGCATGCCTGCCCCATTCCAGGCCAACTAATGCTCTAGTGACAACCCTGTCTGCCTCTCCAAACTCGGCTGTCTCTGGAACCCTTCTCACCTTTTTGAGGGAAAGGGATTTTGAGACAGGGTTTCTCTGTGTAGCTCTGGCTGTCTTGGAACTCACAGAGATCTGCCTGCCTCTGCTGGGATCTAAGTGGGTTCCTCTCCTTGTTCCCTGAGTACCAGACCAGCATCCTCTATGCTCCAGTACCACAACCTCTCTCATCTACTCCCACCCCACCCTCCCCATGCTCACCCTTGACCTATAGGCTACACTTAGAGGTTACCATTGGAAATCACCCTACTTTCTAGATTTTACTGTCCAGACCTTACTTTTTTGAAATCTAGTGACTTCAGATAGTGAGAATTGGGAAGGAGTGATTTTATTTCTAAGACAGCTGGCAGAACACAGGTGTAGTTTGCCTTCCTTGTGGGAGCTCTGCTCTAGACAGGCTGCAGTGGCTGGTATCCAGGGTTCCTCAGGAGTGTGAGAGACATACCCTTAAGGATTTCTTTCCTACAAAGTTACCCAAAGGCTGGGTGCTTTGGAGGTGAAACTATGCCCTGCACCCTGGCACTTTTTTAAACATACAAGCAGGAGACAGTTTTGTGTTGCAATTTGCCATGTAGCTTTCGGTTTAAGGTGTGATGTTTTCTTTTTGGTGCTGGAGATAGAACTCAAGGCTTTGTAAATGGTAGGCAAGCACCATGCCACCGAGTGACACTCCCCTCACTAATATGAAACATTGTCTTTCTTTTTCTCAGCTTTTAAAATCTTTGAGACAAGCCAGGTGTTGTTGTGGGATAATCTTTTTGTACTCTGTGAAGATGTGTCTCTGCCAAGGTGCTTTCTGATTTAGTTTAATAGCTAGGCAGTCGAGAACAGACGGGACTTCTTGGGAGACAGAGGAACTCAGGATGAATCTAGGCATGCTGGAGAAGCCAGTGAAACATGGAGGGAGCCAGGGGTACAGAGTGGAGAAGTAACAGCCATGTGGCAGAATGCAGATTAATAAAATTGAGTTAAGTTATAAGATCCAGTTGAGAACAAGCCTAAGCTAAGGTCAAGCTTCCATAATTGTAATAAGTCTCCGTGTCACTATTTGGGGGCTGGTGGTCCCAAAAGAAAGTCAGACAATAGGGTGTGGTGATGTATACCCTTAATCTCAGCACTTAGGAGGCAGAAACAGGGGGTTCTCTATGAGTTCAAGGCCAGCCTGGTCTACCTAGCAAATTCCAGGCCAGCAAGGGCTATATAATGAGAACTTGCTTCAAAATAAAAACAAACAACAACAAAACCAAAACCAAAAAACAAAATAAACAAAACATATTGTAATATAATTGAAAATGTCTTATTTAAATAAATGATTTGTGATCCCTAAGTGACACTGGAGAACAGGATCAACAGACTTCTATAACATCACTCTTCTTTCTGCTCCCAGCTGAGGATTCCCTGGTAGCAAGCAGCAGGCAACCACTTAGGCCAAGCATAGCTGAATACAAAGGACTTTATTGCAACCTACATGGATGCCCTGCTTGGCTTCTAGAGCCCAGTTCAAATAACCTCTGAGAAGGCAAACAGGAACAGACTTCAGCAGCCTGGGCAAATAAACTTACAGACATTAAGCCCCCAACGAGGTCAGTGGCGTGAGGATCATCCTCAGCATTAAACTGTGGTGAATATAACTCCGTGGTTCTCAGGATCTCCAGCACGCGGTTCAAGGCTTCTGTCACAGGCGTAGGACTGTTTTCCTGGGCGGCGTTGATAATATTGATCACCTACATCGTGGAAATAAAAGACATGAATTTTATAACCTTAAAAACAATCAGAGAGCAATCAAGTGTCAAGCTGGTAATCGTTTGTAATTATGTCACTACGTCAATGTTAATTACAGTGTCTCTATCACCCGTCCTTCTTCAGGAGACAGCATTATACAACTGAAAGAGCATGTTATTGCTGCATGTCCCTGTTTTCTGTCAGGGAAGCAATTCACTGGGAGTCCCAGATGCTTGCATACTCAATGAAGACCAACCTTGGTGATGGGTGCCTCAATCATCATAGAATGTATCCGGGCCAGAGAGGAATGTCTTCTCTGATTGGCAACTGTGAAGAAACGGGTAAGAAATGAGGGTGTGCCCAACCTTGGGCATATGTCTAGACTCCAAGGGCTTCAGACCCTCCCTTCCCAGGCATCAGTTGCTCAGCTACACACAAAAGGTATTGGAGTAACTGCACCCTGACTGGGCTTCCCCTCCTTTCCCTGACATGTCAAACCTGGGCTCTGCATTACCAGCCCTGCGTTCTTCAGTTCTAGGTGCTAGCATGCACGCAACACCCTGCGTCCTGAACTTCCAACGTCACAGGACAGAGAGAAGACAGAGGGAGCAATTTAGCAAGTCAAGGCCAAACAACCTCTTTTTTTGTCTACAACAATAAGGCTCTAGTTACACCTGTTGCTGCTCTCCAGGAGTTCTGGAAGACAGCACCACACCTATTGTTCCCTACAAGGTGGGAGCAATGGACTAAGCTCTACCACTTACTGAAATAAAGTAATATCTGGCTCAAATTTCCAAGCTTCTCTCTAGTGCTATCCTTCAGTGTGTTTAATTTAGGATAGTCAGGCAACGGCATTACACTTGTTGTTTGTGTCCAGGCATGCGTCTTCTGGGCTGAGGGAAGCCTGGACAATACGCAGACGGGAAAATAGCATCCCCAAAGTTGTATGTCTCTGTTAGGATTACCAAACACTGGAAAGGATGAGAGATTGTCTAACAAGATGATGCCTCAGCCTCACCTTGCCGTCAAAGAAATTAAGGCTAAAGAGAGATCCTATCTAAGGTTAACCAGGCCAAGAAGCCTCGAGTGCTGTTTGGGGGTCCAACAGCCCCCAAATCTAATTTCAGTGATTAGCATATGGCTGCCAACTTTACATTTTACACAATAAAGTCACTAAACAAAACCCCCACTGTCTTGTCACCATCAGAAAAGGATTTGCTCTTACTTAGGAATATAATGAAAATGGCATGTGCTTCTCAGCATGAGAACAGAGAGTTGCAGGACAGCATGCACTGTACTCCTGAAAACTTCTAAGGTGCATTTTTAAGGATGGGAAGTAAAACATTTGTTAATTAGCTCAATTTATTCATTTCACAATTCTAAATAAATACATATTTTAAATTAGCATATTGTCTGAAAAATATACACAATTTTAAAATTTGTCAGCTAATAATTTTGGTTGTGAGTCTAGCCTTTAAGGGCTGAGCCATCTTGATGGAAGCAGAGGCAGACACCCACATCTAAACACTGAACTGAACTCCTCCCTGGGGAGTGGAGGGGGTTGGGGTGGGAGGTTGGGAGTTTTGTGGGGGAGGGAGAGGGAACTGGGATTGACATGTCAAGCAAGCATGTTTCTATTTTACATAAAAAACTTTAAAAAAATAAAATTTGTCAACTAAAAGAAAATTTTAATTTAAAAATAATTTGAAAAAAATCAAATACCATAGATGCAATGAGGTAAGAAAAATAAGATGCAAAAAGTTCTGTGTATAGAGATGACTTGGAAGAACTTGCAGATACACTCACTATTCTTTTTTTTTTTTTTTTTTTTTTTTGGCTTTTTCGAGACAGGGTTTCTCTGTGGCTTTGGAGGCTGTTCTGGAACTTGCTTGGTAGTACAGGCTGGCCTCGAACTCACAGAGATCCGCCTGCCTCTGCCTTCCGAGTGCTGGGACTAAAGGCGTGCGCCACCAACGCCCGGCTGTTACACTCACTATTCTACCTTTGATTCAGTAAGTAGTAAGTCTACTACCTAAGTTACTGAGTAAAAAGTCAATATACTAAAACACATTGTATTTCTATGTATTAATGCCATGTAATTAGACGTGGAAGTAAAAACTGTTAAAATACCATCAAGAGTTCTCTGAACAGGAGGGGCTCACAAGGCATACCCCTAGCTATTGTCAGTTAATGACTTCTGGGGGAGGGAAAACTGTTTTCTTCAGGAATGTGGCCCCTGGTAGGTTGCCTACACCTCAGTGATTGGCCCTATGCCCATGTAGATACAGGCAGCTCTAAATGAACACAGTGGGTTAATTAAAGGTGAGTAGAGAGGACTTGAAGTTGGGAAAGGGGCATGGTGATTGCATTTTAAAAATGTTGGCCAGCATGTATCTAACTGATCTTAAAATATTTATTCAGATGAGAAGGTGGCACACATGTGTAATCCCAACACTTTGGAGATGGAGGCAGAAGGATCAGGAGTTCAAGATCATCCTGAACTATATAGGGTGTTTGAGGCCAGCCTGAGCTATATAAAACCCTGTTTGAAATAATTATATTTCAGGCTCGGGGTGTTGGTGCATGCCTTTAATCCCAGCACTAAGGTAGAGGCAGGCGGATCTCTATGAGTTCGAGGCCAGCCTGGTCTACACAGTGAGTTCCAGGACTACTAGGGCTGTCTTGAAAAACAAAAACACATAAATAAAAGTTATATTTCAATATGAACTTATATAATATTTGGAGTTTTACAATCTCCAAATTAAGCTTACTACTTCCAAAGGGTTCATTTCCATAGTAAACTGCAAACTAATCTGTCCTTCAGAACTACCAAATACGTGACTCATATCATGATAGCAAATTAACAGACTAATCTCTGAATAAGAGTTTAGAAATTGAGCTGGGCGGTGGTGGCGCACACCTTTAATCCCAGCACTCAAGAGGCAAAGGCAGGTGGATCTCTGTGAGTTTGAGACCAGCCTGGTCTACAAGAGCTAGTTCCAGGGCAGCCTCCAAAGCCACAGAGAAACCCTGTCTCAAAAAACAAAACAAGAGTTTAGAAGTCATATAGAGCACCTGGTACCTATTTCTTTGATTTTTCCTTATTGACTCATTTCAATGGCTCAGAATGGAGTCTACCTGTAGAGATGGTGGGATGGGACACTGGTTCCTAGAGGGGCCTTCTCTTTGTGTGAATGCACAGTGCATGGCAATCAGGAAACGAAGCTTCAGGGTTAGATGTCCTGTGCTCAAGGCTTACACCATCCAGTCACTCACCTTCAGTTGTTCTGCAGGAAACCACTTTGACATCTATTGAATTTTTCCTCCTGTCTTTATGTTTGCCTGCTTGATTATCTGTGGAAACAATTAAACTATAAATCATCTCTTTACAGAGATATAAGTGACATGTTAGCAAAAGACATCATGCTACATCTTAGAAGTCCCCAAATGAAAGAACTTGAACACCATTTACAACACTACAAAAACCTGCACCGTGCACAGAAACAGGCCACTCACACATCTTAGTTTTGAGGGGCTTCATTTTCTCAAAGGTTTACAGAGTTCAAAACCATGAAGAAACAACCAGAAGAAATGACCTCAGGAGAGGTTCTCATATTGTAGTTAAATGAAACAGAGGGATTTTATCCTCATCTATACCCTTGTCTTTAAAGGAGAAACACACACACACATACACACACACACACAAAACACATTTTCTCTGCAACATTCTGGAAGAATGTCCTTCTTTTTCCTAGGGTCATATATAGAGCATAGTTTGGGGGCACGGTATCAGGATAATTTGCCTTTCTCCCCAATTTCTCTTTTCAGTAAAAAATGCCACTGCTATTCGAGGCTCCAAGTAAGAGTTCTCTGACTCCTCTCCAGCCCTAGCCCCATCCAGCCCCACTTTTGACTGACAAAGTGAGCCTAACCTTCCTGCCTGTCCCTGTGTACCTGTGGGCACCCAGTGTGGTGCTGATGGCCTAGTGAACAACAACTTATGTCCCCATCGCATCTCTGCCTTGCTTGGTCCTTTTACCTGATTCTTCTTCCTTGGGTGGTCCCGGTGCAGGCCCCAAGTGCTCCTCTGCTCCAGGTTTCACTCAGGGCCCGGAGTAAGCTAGGTGAGCACTCTACCACTGAGTTACCTTCACAGCTTTGCTCTTAGCTTCCTGAGTCTCTTCTCCATGTGCACGTGTGTAAACTTGCAAAGGCCACTGATGACCTCCTTGTCACTAACATCTTGGCAGGCACAGGTGAGCCCTCTTTCTGGCCACTTGTGTTTGCAGAAACCACACTGCCCTGGTTTCCTGTCCACCTTACTATTCCTTCCTTGTCCTTTCATGGTTTTCTCTTCTTTCTCTGGGCTTGATGAAAACTCATGGTTACACAACTGTCTAGTGAGCTGGGCTGTGAATTGTTTCTGTTCTCTTTCATCCACTCAGCAAATATTAGCTGAGCGCTTGCCCTGCAACAACACCCAAGACCGGGGCTGCAGTTCAGATCTTGACTGTCCTCCCAGTCAGGGTGATGCTTTGGTTCTATGAATTCCACACTGCCTCATTTGTTCCCTCCGTGTTTCTTGATGGTTGGCTCCAAGAGTTAGGCAATAAGGCGCAGGGCCAAGGGATGCAGGGCGCTTTTTAGAGATGGAACCCAGTCATCTGGCTCTCTTCTCAGGCTCCTTCCTCTCCCTTTGTTTAGCTCTCTGGCCAAGAAGCAGTGGTCTCACCTTACCACACACTATGTGTTGCCTCGCCGTAAGTCTAACAAGGCTAAATGATCATAGGCCAAAACCTCCAAAATGGTGAGCCAAAATAAACGAACCTGTTCTCTTACTGTAAGTTAGTTATTTCAGATATGACCTCTCAGTGCTAGGGATAGAACAATGCAAGTAATAAGGTCATATCCTCAAAAGGAGGTATTCTAGTGGCGAGGAAGGCAGGTGAGCAGAATTATAGCAATGACTTTGAAATGAAGCTAGGGCAAATATGTCAAAAAGCACCACCAGACCAGGCTGGGGCTTGTAGCAAGAGAGGAAGCAAGGTTTTCAAGGAGATTGAATTTCCACTGAAATATTTTAAAGTTGCTTTGTTTCTACGTAAATCCTAGATCTTCTGCTCCCAATAACCCTGTCACGAATCCTGTTCCCACTGCGACCCTGTAGTTCTTTGTAAGTGAGTCTGGGACAATTTTCACCCAGCAGGTAGAGGTGGCCGTACATGCCCTGACCAGGGGTAGAGGTGGCCGTACATGCCCTGACCAGGTCCAGCTCCCAGATGCAGCCCTTAGGGTACAACCAGGGGACCAGTAAGGAAGTATGAGGGTCACATTCTGAAGAGCCTGCCAGCCATGAAGAAGTACCATGCCCAGTGGCTCACACAGTAGTGGGTGCTCAACAGATAACACACCACTCTGATAAGGTAACATGCCTATATATGAAAACAACTCCAAATAGACTCCATGACCATTGATCTACAACTCTGCTCTTGGGCTTCCTGTCCTGCTCATTTCCTCAGAGACATTAGCATTTCTGGGCCTGACAGAACAATCCAGGGAATTCTGGAGAAGTAGTGTTAAGCAATGGAAGACACTGTCTCCTGTCAGCACCCTAACTGCAGGAACCTTTTGGCCTGGAAGCAGGAACTCTAGTCTGGATATGAGAAAGGTGAAGCCAGGTATCTAGCCCAACATGCCCACAAGGCCCTGTGCTGGGCCCCCAGCAGACTGCGACGCATGCTCTCAGGCACTCTGCAGTTCAGGCCTGGGAGAAGTGCCTAGCTGCCAGCCCCAGGCTCCGCGGTTACCTCCAATCTTAGACAATGGTACTTGCCACTCTCCCTGAGAAGGCTCTCCATTCCCAGATATACGAGAACCTCTGTATCTCTTTAGAGAACTGTGGTATCTATAAGCAATGGTTCCAGCCCTGGCAGCCCATAAAAGGACTTGTGAAGTACCTGAGGCCTTAGGCTCACCGTCTTCTGCCTAAACCAAAGCTTATCATGTGATGGCAAGTCAGAGCAAAGTTTGTACTCCATCACTCAACCCTTTTGTGACTTTGGTGAGGTACAGCATCATCTGGAAATTACACACAGGCTAAGAAAAACTGTAACCTGTGTGAGGACTTTATTATTTTTCTAAGCGCCCAGACATCTTTCTTTTGACTGGGGAGCTCCAGGCCCTCCCTTTACAGAAGGGAGGAGGTGAGGACTCCCTCGCTCCACAGCTAAGTAGCAGGTGACCTAGGCCTAGACAAATGAACACCTTTTCAGGGTCTGCCTTGGAGCAGGGGAAACAAGAAGCAAGAGATCTTACCAGAGCCAGGGGTGCCCAGCTGGGCTGTTCCTGTGGCATGCCCAGATCAGAGGGGACAGCTGCCCAGCATCCCTCGGCTCCTGGCACTGGCCCCATCTGTAAGGTGCTCTATTTCCTTCCAATAGCATCCCCACCCCCCACTCCCACCCCCACCCCTCCACCTCCAGCTTGAGGACTGACTTCTGCTGTCCTTGGTTCGATAGCCCCACCTGCCCCACTGAGGCAAAGCAGCCCCAGACTTTCAGGTACAGAACTGCTCTGCTGCCCAGGGAGGCACAGGCTAGGTGGTTGGCTCATCTGGGTGACAGCAGCAGCTCCCCATGTACAGCGTCGTGAGGCTGGGCCAGATTCCCACCTTGCCTGTCCCTCTGACCATTGCCGATGGCCACCCAAGCCCTGCTCTGTCATTTCCTAGCTGCTTAACTCTAGGCTGCCATTTAACCTTCTTGACTCTTGGTTTTTTTTTCTTCTGTACTAAAGGAGTGTTAATAACAGTCATGTCCACTTTGCAGGGCTATTCTGAAGAACTAAAAGGACAAAACACCACTAACAAAACCACCAAGCAGTGTGCTCTGTGAGCCTGCAGCACAGAACTCTTCCACGGCAGGCCCTGTCTGCCACTTCTGTTTTGACTCCACAGTTCCTTGCAGCGTGGCTCCTGCCTCCCCCGCCTCTGAGCATGAACACTGACAGCTCTCAGTAGCTCTTGAAAGTAAGTCGAAGTCCCTGCTTTTCTGCACAGGTGCCCCTTCCCTGCCGTCAGCTGCGGCAGTGACACTCTCCCGCCTCCCCCACAACCCCCTTTTCACTCCCTCTCTGCTTGACTTCCTCCTCTTCTCCCAGGGTCCCCAGGGGCTTGCCTCACATAGTAACCTTGATGTTGCTACTTCCCCACACACCCGGGCTCTGTCTTCATCACTTACTGATGCTCTTCTGGTCAGAAACATCTGCATCTCAGGTTCTTACCCCTTTGAAGAGCCTAGGAACCAGTGACAGGCAGATGTTTACTATCAATCTGTAGGGTAACAAACAGGGCCACCCAGGTGAAGTGGTCCACGTTTATCTTCCCAAGTCTTGACCACACCCTAAATCTCCTGGCTCGGGCGGGATCTTTTGACTGCTTTTTCTTCATTCTTCTTTCCAGTCCTATATCACCACATTTGTTCCCATCCCCCTTCTGCCATCACCTTGTTTTCCTGGCCAGTATTTTCTCTCCTCTCAGTCACACATCCTTCTATGCGAAGGGTTGCAACACAGTATAAGAACTTCTTAGAGCTCAAGTGTCTCCATTCTATCTCCACACTCTGAAACCCGCAGAGACTCCCACTTCCCACGAATAAAAAGCCTTTAAGGACTATGATTAATTCAAACCCTCATCCTGACTTACTCTGCCAGTCTACATTTACTATGCCTCCCTAGGAACACATACTATACTTTCCCCCTTCGGCAGCGCCTGATGGAGAGCCCCCATAGTCCATGCCCTCATCTAAGGGGGCAAAGGCAGGGAGCAGCTTGCAAAGCCATGACTTGAGTTTGAAGGAAACAAACTCCCCAAGCCAGAGAAAAGGGCCTTTGCAGTAGGACAAATGATGTCTGAGGCATAATTAGAAGACATGAGATGGCGCAAGCCTGGCAGGCCCAGATATCTACCTCTAGGATGGCGGTGAGGATTGACAGGACAGATGAAGATGTCCCTGCTAAAGTACTCAGGTATGCCACTCAACCCAGCTGTGCGATCATACTTCATTCAGCACACACACACACGAGCCATGCTCTGATCTATCAGTTCTTCCCACACAGGCCAGCCCCGGCACTTGTCAGGACGCCCACAGCACCCAAGTCTTTCAGCTTGGACCACGCTGGGGCAGCGGCGGTGCTGGGAGGACAAGGTCCCACCACTGTGCAATGCATGCCCATCAAAGAAAGGATCCGCGAGCCTCCACCACATTCAAACTTAGGAATGAACACAGGGCCTCATACCTGTTTGGTGACTGTCAGTCTGAACAGACTGAGTTACTGTCTCAACCTAAAAACAAAAGTTACAAGCCATTAGTTTTGATCTCCTAAAAATCCTGTTTGCAATGCTCAGGCCCTGGGCTTCTTGCCTACCTTATTGTTGCCACTGCACACTCTGATAATGGACACATAGTGTCTGATTTTTCTGTAAAACCAGAAAACAATGAGTTATTTTTCTTCTGACTCTAATTTGGTATAAACAAAGTTAATTTTTCATTATGAGAAGAATACTTTGGAAAAATAAGTGACTTCGGCAGTCACTCCCCTAGTTACGAAAACAGCCAATACAAAAGCACATATGCTGTTAGCAGTACACTGCACGCTAGCCTTTGGTCGCCTAATGCCCTTCTGACAAGTGCTGATCCTGATGCTCAGAGCCCCAGCAGTCTGCTTACAGTCACCGGTGGAGATAGAAAGCCACAGGCCAGCCACACAGGCTGAGTTTCTGCTGGCCTCAGTTAGCCAACTGCTAAAACAAAGCGATGAGGGCTGAATACAGAAGCTACCGGTTTGTTCCATTTCTTTATTGTTCCCTCCGTGTTTTTTCCGCCATAATCAAACCCCTATATACTTATCACAAAAAAAATTGGAAGGACATAAAAGAGCAAAGAGTGAGAACAGAGAGCCCACACAGCGCTGCCTCCCTGAGGCAGTCACCAACTGGCAGCAAAGTCTGCTGACATAGCACGAGAGCCGTGCGCTCGGTCGGTCAGTCGGCACTGAGGGCTGCACCAGGCACCATCACACATGGCAGCCAGGGCTGGGGCTAGAAGCCAGACCTCTCTAAGACTCAGTTTCCTCGTGTGTAAAGTAGAGACACCTCTGTGCGCTGTGCTAACAAAACAGAGCTGTACTCAGAATGAAAAGAAATGGCATCTCCCACCAGCCAGGAGCCTAGCCAGAGAGGGAAGCACGCAGAGAACAGAGGGCCCCTGGTGCTATGGGCCCACACTTCCTCCTCTAACCCCCTTTCCTTTTGTGAATGTGTCATTATAAAAGTATATTATTTTTCTGTTGGGTATCCTATAATTCATACTAAGAATTTTCTAGAAACTTTCTCTATTATTTTGAATAGGTTCTGAGACAAGGCATCTAAAAACTTTAGGCTCTTGATACATACTTACGATTTACAATATGTATATGTGAGCACATGCATGCTTGCCCATGTGGCCATGAGTGGAGACAAAGGTTGACCTTGCCTCTCCACATCATCATCATCATCATCGTCGTCATCATCATCATCATCAATTAAGACAGAGTCTCTGATGCCACACTGGTTTGGGGTGGAGGGTGCTAGACATCTAAACTCAGATTCTCATGCTGGCACAGCAAGCACATTTCCCAACGAGACAGCTCTCCAGCCCCTAACACATCTATTAGCATTCAAAATATTTTTCTCTAACATGACAGGCCTTTGCAAAACAAAAAACAAAAAAACCTACTTCCAGTTAGATAAAAAGCTTATAAACAGAGGTAAACTGTGATTTGAATATAAACATTGAAGTCTTTTGCAAATCTACACAGCATTAAGAAGACTGTCCTAAGTCAAGTGGAAGGTCTTCAAGGAACAACCCCCTGAAGGCCATCCTGTGGCCCTGCTCTGAGCCGGTTACACTTTTGTGAGCAGGTCAGAGTTTACTTAGTCTTCAAAGCAAGTTCAAAACATGGACCGATGATTGAAGTACATTTTTTCCACTTACCCTCCCTGCCCAATGATAGGTATTATCTTCACATTTTGTTGTATGTTATCTCCATTTTTCTTTTGGGTATGGTAAACTCCTTGCCACTCCTATAAATAGAATGTAAGCATTATTACACTTTGGGTTTGAAACATAAACCCAGGAACATTTTCCATTTTCTTTCTAATTTCATTAATCACCATGAAAGAACTTAGGATAAAAATGATCCCTATTCCAAATGCAACTCAAGTTTAGCTGATGATTCTTCTTCACCCTCTAAGGTTCACTTGACAAAGGTCAAGTCACCTCGGTGTAAGTGGTCATCTGTCGGCAAGAGAGACCCCCCTCACTTCAATGTATTGATGCCACCTCTCCCGACTCACATGGGCTGCAGTGAAGAAGGGAGTTAGCACTTTGCCTTGGGCACAGAAGGGCAGTTTGTGGCCATTAATGTGGAATGCGGGATGGGGGCTGCTACCAGTTTCTTACTCGGAATGGCTTTAGTCCTACTGAAATTGGGGGCTTTCAGTCCCTCTGCAGGATGGGATGACCCAGCAGCTGGGCTTGAGCTCAGGCAGCAGCCGAACAAGGTGAAGCCTGAAAGCACGGGGCTGTGATTTTAAGAGTTCACGTGCCTAGAGCCAGGGATCCTCTCAACAGGAAAGGGCATGGCTGTGGAGGAAACAGGGCACACCTTCCCTTGGGGTGATGAGGCAGCTAGGGATTTGTCATTATCAGCCAGCCAAAGTTCTGAATTCATCGGGCAAGTCACTCGAGTGCTAAGGTATGAACCCCTAAATCATCCTATTGGGGCACACTACCCAGAGGAGCCCATAATGTTCTTGGCCCTTCAGAACTCTCAGAACCCAGAGCTCTAAGATACTCAGGTAGATATTTATTAGTAGATGACATAATTCTGAAAAAAAATAATTTTTTAAAAAAGACCATGTCAAAAACAGCTAGTTCTGTCTGTAGCTAGCTAGCACTTAGCATAACAGGCCACAAACAGCTCAGTTCTGAGTCAGGCAAAGACTAAGCAGGGTTCCCAAGCAGGAAGGCAGTCTTCATCCCCACAGCCCATGAGGTCACCATGGAAACAGTGCTGAGTCTAGCAAAGGGAACGCGGGCACTGTCTTGATGTCTGTACAGTTACATGAATTTAGTCACTGAACGTGTCGTTCTGTTTGCTTGCTTGTTTGAGGTGGGTCCGTACTATGCAGCTCTGGCTGGTCTCGAACTTGCAATGACCCTCTTGCCTTGGCCTCCCAAGTGCTATGAACAATACACTTTAAATGGAGTGAACTGTATTGTGTAAGAATTCCATCTTAATAGAACTGTTAGGTTATATACAAAATAAATGCTAGATATATACTTAGCATGACCCATATTTACTAATTACAAATATAAAAAATATTTAATGATGTATCATTCAGAATTTGAATTCTGCGGAAGAAGCATACTACCTCAGGACATGGTCATTGAAATGTATGGTGGTAAGGCCGATACCTGGCGAGTTCAGTGGCCATCCTGTTTGGGGTGCAGGTGCACAGTCCTGTCCCCACAAGCTCCCCACTCCACACAGTAGGACTCATGCTTCCCTGCTGCTGTCTGGCACAAGCTACATACCAGGCTGGGCTTCCATGGCTATTGATGTAGTCCCCTTTGGCAATCATTGTCATAAAATTAAGTCATTGTCATCCAGCTGTCCTGTCCCCAGGGCTGGCACAATGCTCACCCATGGTAAACAATCAAAGAATACGTGAGGCTTTTGTTTACAGAGTGACTGAGGTCAACTGCAGAGTCTTGGCCACCAAGCTAAGCAATCTGAACACTACACAGCATGATGAAATAATGTCTTACTAGGACCACCCATGCACAGTGTGGGAGTGTGAGGAGGTCCTAGGCAGGTCAGGGGCAGACACTCAAAGCAAGGAAGTTGGCAGCGGGCGAGCGGGACTGGTGATGGAGCTGAAGGAAGCAAAAGACGCTGGGGATCAGTTTATTCAGGGATCGAGGACAAGGTAACTGTGAGGACAGCCTGTGAACAGGGACTGACCAGAAGACACACTGGGGATGCTACTCCTGGAGAGTGGCAGCAGGATACTGAGGGGCAAGAGCAAGGGTCAGAGACCAGGTAATTTGTGGAGGAGACAGAAGGAAAGGAGAGTAGGGAAATGGAGTTTGTCAGCGAGAAGGAAGAAGGATCTCAGGAAATAAGGAAGGTCAAAGAGTCCCGAGGCATCTGACAGGCATCGGAATAGCCCACATTTACCCTGCATTGAGAGAGAGACAGAGACAGAGTGGGAGTGAGACAGGGAGAGTGTTTGTGTGTCTCAGGGATGGGGCAACTAAAGAGGAAGAGTCAGTATGTCTAGACAGGGAAAAGCCAAGAAAAGCTTAGCTACCTGGAGGATGGGTGACTATAAGCCCCCTGACTGGGGAGTTACGGGGAAGATGAAAAAGGATACAAGGAGACACACATGTGAACCTAAAAACTCAAGTTAGCATCTCTATCTGCCCCAAAGAGAGCAACAGGTAGAAAAGTTTGTGGCGTGATGGGTGTCTGCAATACTCTGCTTCAACCGCTTGGGAATTTCAACTCTAGACCAGGGTTTCCAAATTGATTATTCAACCCCTAGAATATGACCTCCTGATGCCTACAGCCCTGGCCATCCAACCATTTTCTTCTCTCTTCTGCTACACTGGTCCCCTGGAGACAGTTGAGCTCTCCCTTCCCCTTCAGGGACTGGGCTAGGCAGACTGTCTACCCTCTCACCTCAGGGAACCAACAGGCTATGACAATGGGTAGAATCACCTGTTCATGCTCCCTAAAAGCTCCGAAACACCCCCACGCAACTGGCCAGACTCCTTTCAGAGACAGAGTAGCCAATAGGCCTGTGACACATGGCCTTTCTAGGATTGCTCACGATCATGTCAAGTCTCTAGAGGAGTCCCTGCTACTCAGATGTGAGGGTTTTTGCACTAGTCCCCAAAAGCATCGATCCAGATGACACACTGACCAGATGCCATGTTACTATTTGCTCTCCTCAGTAAGAGGGATCCGGCATGCCTGGCAGGGGTCCAGAGTAGTGGATATCCAACAATAAAACCACTGGTTTAAGAATGAACACACACACACACACACACACACACACACACACACACACACACACACACACACACGCCAGGCATGCTAGTAATCACCACTGGGGAAGGAAAAGCTGGTGGACCTCTTGAGTTGAGGACAGCGTGGTCTACAGATAGAGACCCTGTCTCAAAATGAAACAAACAAGCAAACAAAACCTTTGTCTCCAAGTATCACCAAACGACCAAAATGACAGAAGTGAATGGCGATGGGAAAGTCCCGAAGAGAACACGTCATCTAACACAGTGCACCAGAGCACTGAGGTCTCTTTGTCCATCTCAGCCTTTGCTCCTCTCTCTCCAGAAGACCCTCCACTCCTAGTAAGACAAACAGCACCCTGAACTTACACCTTGAAGGCAAGAGGGTTCAAACAGTGCCTAGCTAGCTCTACATCCCGAGTGTCCCTTGCACTCAACCTGTTCTTCCTGTGTTTTTCTTCTAGGTGTTGTTTATTTCCAGGCAGAGTCCCTCTACATAGCCCTGGCTGTCCTGGAACTCACTATGTAGATAGATCATGCTGGCCCCAAACTCAGAAAGATTTGCCTGCCTGTGCCTCTAGTGCTGTTAGGGTTAAAGATGAGAGCCACCACACCCAGCTTCTTCTGTGTTCCTAGTTCAAGACAATCTCTTGTTCTTGCAGCATGGGGAGAGCTCAGGAAGCAGAGCTATTCACTGTGTCTTCCAGAGGCCAAGTCGAGTGGGGTATACGCTGTGCATGGCCCCTGCCTTCTGGCACTGGGGAAGTCGAACTGCTACCACAGCCTCTGCGGCCGGCAGCACAACGGTCATAGTAACAGCCTCTTCTCATCCACACCCAGAAGCCCCGCCCCAGGGCAGTGCCCACAGGCCTGGCCGGCTGCGCCTGCCTCCTGTCTGACCCTTTAGCACCATGATCACACAACCTCTCACACTGTCAACAACGATCCCTTCTGTTTCCAGCTCTGGAAAGCGGGCTTTCTGAGGGAAATGTTCTTGTTTGGATCATCCTTCCAGGCAGAACTTAGCATGGTGCTCAGCACACAGCAGGCATCTGAAAACTGTTCAATGACTGAGGCTCAGATGAACTTGGAGGGTGTTCTACCTCACTGGAGACCCTTACCCAGAACCATGTACTAACGTCTACCACTTAAAAGATCAGTCACTAGAAATACCAACTTATTCACCCACCACTCAGATAAAAAACAATGATTTTAAGGTCAATTCCAGTGACTTTGCTTATCTGCTAATCATGTCACATTCTTGGCTTCAGTTTCTGTACCTGAAAAGTGAGAGTAACAGAGACTTCTGGGAAAAGGGTAGGGCTGAGGTCACCTGTCCACATGGTGCCAGTGAACACCCAGTCTTCCCTCTTACCTGAGGGTGATAATGGCACTACCATCACTTACCTTGCCTATGGTGATGCACGAGTTTATGGCGTCGAGCAAGTCCCCTTTCTTTTCATTTATGGGCACTTGTGCTAACTCCTTCCCTATCAATTCACCTGACTGATAACCCATCGTTGTTTCAAATGCAGGATTTGCATACTAGAAAGAGACAAAAGGAAAAAAATAAGTGAACGTAAAAGATATTTTGAAAAAATAAAGGCCTTCCACCTAAGCACTACCCTTGCTCCCCAAAAACTCAGCAGCCTGGGCTTCGTCGTGAACGTTCTGAAGCCGTGAGGACTCCAGGGCTGGGCTTCCTGCTGTGCCTCAGACTCCAGGAAGGCAGCAGGCTCTCTCCAACCTCAATGAAGACGAACCCAGGCTGCCACACCAGACTGCCCGGATGGTGCTGCAGTAAATAAAGTGCCAGGCACTGCCTTCTGGACATCTGCAAGTGCTCACCTGGAGGGGGAGAGTGAGAACAAGCCTCTCTGGATGACTCAAATGAATAATGCGGGGAAGGCAGACTACACACTAGAAGTGTTTACATAAGCGAAACGTTTGACAATACGTTTCAAATACAGCTCTAAGACATGGAAAACTGTATGAGAGTGTGAGCATATGCTGGTGATGATGATGAGACAGAAACTGACAGTGGTTTTCAAGATAGTAAGCACTTTACACACAGGAACAGGGTAATCCTCAAAACCTTATGAAACGCAGGTGGCTGCTGTTACTGTCACTCCCATGTCAGAGAAAGCAGATTCAGCTAGCTTAGGGCACTTCCCAAAGATGCGCGGCTGAGGTGGACAGAAGCCAGTGTCATCAACTCCTGGCCTGTGTTGCCTTTTAGCACCAACTCCCAAATGTTACCACCAGTGGCAATAACAAAATAATAACAAGTTAGATTCCCGGATGAAAGGAATGCTTCCCCCAAAGGCTGTGTCTTTTAGTAAAAGCCATGTTAGTGATATAGATATCCATTTGTCTCTTAAAGAGCCAGTTTGCTAATAATGGTTGTTTAGTCTGTTATTTTCTGCATTTTAACTGTTTTTAGTAAATTTTGTATAGATTTAACCTGCCTCTAAAAACAGTGAAGAAAGATGTGTGCACAGTGAAGAAAGCTTGTGTGTGGCCAGCTGGCAGCCTGTTAGAGTCTCCTGAGTAAGCAACAGTTACCACCCCAGGAAAAGGAATAAGAGAAGGTCTGCCATTTCTACATTTCTAAGTACCATAAGGAATCGTTATCTTTTCTTATCTAGAGAGTTTACTTTAAATTATGTATTTTATTGATTTTGCTCTTACAATCATCTCAGGGGGAAAAATGGCTTCTTGTACTTCAAAAAGAAAGAAAAAAATCAGACTGTAGGGCTACAATCCTAAAAATGAAAACAAAATGAAGCTATAAGCATAAATTTCCAAAATAACAAACCTGTATAATGTGGTCTTCACTTGTAATTTCAACTGCTTCTTGACTTTTCTCTAGTGCAGTGAATACTGAGTTACAAGCCCTTTATGGATAGAAACAAAAGGACTGATAAATGTATTTACATCAATCGTAATGACTAAATCTAACACAATCTCAGGGAATTATATCAGCTTACTTGAGTGTCTTGCGTCTGGCTTATAGAAGAGGTTAATGTGTGCTCAGAAAGAGGAAGGAGAAACATTAAAAAACATAAAGAAGACCTTCTATAGCCTGAGTACTTGGGATTATCGCTCGCACACCAGGATGGTCACGCACCAGTGTAGCTGTGTTACCCTGAGCCCCTAGAGTGTCAACACTAAAGAGCTTCCATAAATGAGAGGAGAGAGTCGAGATTGGTGCACGGAGCATGGAGAGGGAGGGAGCCTGCCACTTGAAGGTATTATTTTAAACAAGTTATTTTCACAGTATTGGGGGCATCTGGAATGACTGGCTTTGTTGCCTGCTTTCTTAGTCTTACTCTGTGAGCATATCCAATGCCCTTCGTGTTTGAAATGCCTTCTTAAGTATACAGGTAACAAATGCTCATTGACAAAAGTTAGAAAATATAAACAAGATAGCTTATCGCTCCAATGTAAGACTAGGATGGGCAGTAAATATTAGTGATACCCTCATACATTATTGGTAGGAATGTAAAAATTGATGCTGCTCCCATTTTGGAAAATAGTCTAGAAATTCTTCAGATGGTTAAACAAAGAATCATCAGATGATCCAGCTATGCCTACTCTTGACTATATACCTAGTAAAAATAAAAGTATCTGTTGACACAAAAACTTGTATATAACAGTTGGCAAGTACAAACAGCTCAAATGTCCACCAGTGAAGAATGACTAAGTAAAATGTTATACACACATATGCTGGAATATTATAGCTCTACCTTGAAAACATTATATTTAAATGCAACAAGTCAATTACAGAGGATTATATACTGTGTGATTTCCATTTATACAAAATGTCTAAAACAGGCAAATCCAGACACAGAAAGTAAAATAAGGGTGTGGACCCAGGGTTAATGAAAATATTCTAGAATTGTGGTGATGAGTGCATAACTCTGGGGAATATAATAAGCATCACTATGTACCTTAAATAGATAAATGATAGGGCACATGAAATATATCTCAATAAAGCTGTTCAAAAATAAATGAGATAAGAACGTCCGACACCCCAATGCTTAGACATATTGGCACTGGGTTCTTTTATGAACATATAGGTCAACATATTTATAAAAAGGTAATCATTCTTACAGTTTTACCATCTCCTTTTCTTGCTGAACACATATCAATAATTACAGTTCTCCATCAGCACATTTAATCACCATATAAGGTTACACCAAGACATATTCAACAAACCCCCATCGTGAGGCACCCAGGCTGCTTCCAGGCTTTTGTCTTAGATATGCACCCCTCCCCCATGGCCAGAAGGCCCTGTGGCCTCACCAGACTAAAACACAGGTAACTGCCTGCTCATGCACAAAGCACAGAGACAGTAACTGTAAACTTTAAAAGCGTCTGTGCTTTTCACATTGTTCCTGCTCAATAGAGCTGTTACTTAACAACAGAATGAGGTCTGTGCGATGACTCTGCTGTTCCGCCGGACAATCTGAGTATGATCTCCAGGGCTCACGTGGTTAGTAGAAGGACCGAATCCCTCCACAGAGACACTGTGTGCCCACACCTATGTACTCAAACCCACAAAATAAATAAGTATTCATTCAAAAACACAAATTAGGAACAAGAGGCTGGAGAGGTGCTCAGTGGGTAAGAGCATCCACTGCTCTTACTGAGGACCTGCGTGTGGTTCCCAGTGCTACATCAGACAGCTCACAGCAGCCTGGAATGGCAGTTCTATGGGATCTCACACCCTCCTCTCAACTCAGAGGACACCTGCATTCATGCACAATGTCCCCACGACACACGCATATACGCCTAAATTATGGGACCAGAGAGATGGCTTAACAATTATAATCATGTCAGTACAATCGGTTTAATTCCCAACACTCATGTCTGACAGCTCCAGGAAATCTGATGCCTCTGGCTTCCACAAGCACCTGTACAATATCCCTTTTCCCCCAATGTACATAATTAAAAATAAAAATAAAACCCTAAAAAACAAAAGAATGGTTGGTGAGATAGCTCAGTGGGCAAAAAGTACTTGGGAAACAGAAACAGGCAGAGATCTACCAGGCCAACCTGATCTACATAGTGAGTTCCAGGCCAGCCAAGGCCAAGAAGTGAGACCCTGTCTAGAAATCAGTCAACCACAAACACAAAGAGGAGCTCCCACCTGTGACAGAAGCAGCACAGAGAACACAGACCTGCAAGAAAGCCCATTGGGATTCCCCTTTCTCCTTCAATCAGAGCAGAACTGATAAATGGCAAATGATATACTCCTTTTTTACTTCTTTGATTTCTAGCTTGGCTGAACTTCTTTTCATGTCTTATGTCTGGTGGATTCCCTGAGCATATCTTTCAATGACTTTTTTTTAAACCAGAGTATTTCACTATTTGATTCATCAAAACTTCTTACTGAGGGCACTAACCTAATGCCCACTGGATATGCAACACATAAATGTTCCATTCAGCCAGGCGGTGGTGGCATACGCCTTTAATTCCAGCACTCAGGAGGTAGGGGCATGTGAATCTCTGTGAGTTGAGGTCAGCCTGGTCTACAAAGCTACACAGAGAAACCCTGTCTCAAAAAAAAACAAAAAACAAAAAACAAAAAAAATGTTTCCATTCATCATCCAATCAAATATTTTGCTTATTTTTGAGCATTTACATGGCTCTACATTTAAGCTTTTAGTTTACTGGTGGTTATTTGGGGTAGGGAGGGAAAGTGGGGTACATTAATTTCTTTTCCAGTTAATTGAGTGGTTGTCACGGTCCCAGTCACTGAAAAGCTCACTTTTTTTGCATTGATTTCAACAGCCACGTTGATCAGGTCCTAGGCTTTAAGTACACTCGGGCCTGTTTCTATACTTAACATTTTAGCTTGCGACTTAGTAGTGATGAGGCTGCTTTTTTTTCCTAGAAACCTTATTTAATCAGTATTTCAAATCCAAGAAATTATCTCTTCCTATGACAAATAGTTATTTTAGTGCTTAAGAACATTTAATGACGGTTTTTTCACTCGCAATGTGAGATGGCTTTTATTGGCATTTAACTTAACATGGTCTCTGGTAAACTTGGAAATAAATCTTTGTACATGTCTATAAAATATTTTATAACTTCGGTTAATTGAGTGGGGGAGATCTACCTTAAATCTGAGCAAAACCATTTGACTGGATTTGGCTCTAGAATGTGTACGAAGGACAAACCAAGCCACACATGTCTTCATCTCTCCATGTCGCCCGACTCTAGATGCAATAAATGCAACCATCACCCTTCATGGTTGTGCCCATGCCTTCCCCATCAGGATGTACTGTCTTCTCAAAATACGTGCCAGAATTCCTTCCTAAGTTGCTTTGCTTAGGTATATTGTCCAAACAATGATGAAGGTAATTGATGCACACTTTAGAGAAGTTAATTTGAGCATGTCACTCTTCTGTCATATTCCTCTGGTGGAGAGCTGTCATCTGCATCCTTTTATCTCAGCCTGTAGAGTGGGACACAACCAAGTTTCCTCATCTGCTTTCTCTCACCCACCAAACTAAATATTTGTTATAGGAGATCCTACAAAGAATTCCTGGGATTATCTGGAATGATCAAGGGAAGTTTAGGGCATAATGGGCTTGAAACAAAGCACATTAGAGTAAATGGGAGTTTTTGAAAAGCAAAATAAAAATATACGACAAGGCTGCTTCTTACAGCATTCTCGTGCCTGGTAGAACGGGTTTCCCTCTACTCCACTGCCTCTAGTCCCACATTTCCCTTCCCCTTCATGTTTTTTCTCCATTGGCTGTCAGCTGGAACAAGGTATGATGGGATGTGAGAAAGGGTGGTACAGCATTAGACAGATCCAGGACATCTGGGAGTCTGGACTTCACCTTGAGCTTAGTGGATATTGCAAGACAGAGACACAAATGAGAGTCACACGTTATTTCAGGGTGAGAGACAGGCAAGAGGAAGTCAGGGCTAAGGGTAGGGAGACTGACTCACGGATTCAATAATCCAGGCAAAAGACCTTACTCTAAGAATAAGTGAAGACAAAAATACGGGAACGGAGGCCAGAGAAACCCATGAGGCAGGAGTGATAGGATGCAGCGAGGAACAAGATTCAGGAGTGGGTAGAGGAGACCCAGGGGTTTCGATGCAGGGCTGTATGCTGACACTACTATGCTGACACTACTATGCTCACTATGCTAAGGCACCGAGGAGGAAAGTTTGAAGTTAGTTCACTTTCACCTACAGTATTAGATATGTAAATACAGGCCAAGTGCTGCGGGCACACGCCTTTGATCCAGCACTCAGGAGGCAGAGGGAGGCAGGTAGATTTCTGAGTTCTGTGGTACACAGTGAGACTCTGCCTCAAAGCAAACATGTAAATACATGTGAGTGACAAACAGATGAATGAACCACAGTCAGCTACTTTCGAGCTCTTAGCTGAGTCAGGTAACTTCTCAGAGCTCACTTTAAAAGTCATTCTGCCTATGGAGTGCTTTTCTTCCCTGCATATGGAGCCTGGTACTGATTCCTCCAAACTCTAACACTCTCTATAGCTTTCCACCTGCCTCAGGTATATACATAGAGAACATCAGCCTCCTCTCCTTGATCTCTGATAAAGAAAATACTAAATAGTTGGACACAGAAGGAATACCAAATAAAAAGAATGGCTGGTTTTGTTTTCCATCTGTGAACCTGGTAGTATTTTAAAACTTTTTCTTATTTTCTCTACAAATATACAGGCTTCTTCTTGAAAAAAATCTCAGCGGCACATGGTGGAACAGGCCTATAATCCAAGCACCCAGGATGCTAAAGAATGGGGGTTCCAAGTTCAAGTCTACATTGGGGATTATAGTAAGACCCTGTCTCAAAACAAAAGAAATTCTTCATCAAAAACAAATTATAGCCAAACATGGCTCATGACTGTAATCCCAGCAGTTGGGAGACAGGAGGATCAGGAGATCAAGGTCAACCCTGGCTACACAGTAAGTTCCTATACCTCAAAAGATCCTGTCTCAAACAAAAAGAATTAATGACAAAATTGGTATTGTAGAGTAGGAGAAAGTATCAGTTGCCAGAGAAAAATGGCAATATATTGGGTATGGTATAGTTAAAGTATTTACCCCTTAGAACACAAAACAGAAAATCCAGTATGTATGATTTTTTTCTTACCTTTTTTCTCATTCACTACTGCTTTGAGGCCTCAGGTTTTAACGGGAGTCATTTAAACTCTGCTTAGTAACATGACCACTCATTAGACTCCCGAAAGGCTACTGTTGTGGGATATTCCTTTATACCGTGAAGGAATGTCACTATGATTGGTTTCATAAAAAGCTAAATGGCCAAGAGGCAGGCAGGATTTTCGGGGCAGAGACAATGCTGAGAAGAAGAAAGAGGAGAAGCCAGACAGAAGCAGAACAAGTCAGACACACAAAATGGGACAGAGATAAAAGGCTATGTGGTAGAACATAAATTAATAAAAAATATGGGTTAGTTTAAGCTATAAGAGCTAGTTAGAACAAACCTAAGCCATAGACTGAGCTTTCATAATTAATAAGAAGTCTCCGTGTCATTTATTTGGGAGCTGGCTAGCGGGACAGAGAACAACCAGCTACACAGTCTGCCTGAGATGCATTGGCGGCCGACTATCTATCCATCATATCTTTTGCATGGTAAACACTTTCCTGACAGCCAACTCACACCTATCCTGCTTTAACTGGTATCAGGTATGGCCAAAAGACCTTTGCTTGCAAGTTTTCCTTGGGGTCCAGAGGGCTTTTTTAGCAGGGACAGAATTACCTGAGTTTCAGTTGTGATCGCACCTCTCCAAACGCCAACTGGAGTAGTTCATTGTAACAGGCCATGATGTTGGGGTTTTCTATATACCTCTATAAACAGAAAGGGGAGCTTTGTAGATAAAGACGAACCTTTGACGTATGCCACAAAAGAAATGCTAAACAAACCTTTCAATTTGGTTACTTTGTAATCATTAATGTACAGCAGAAGATGAGAGATGAAATTTAAATGTACCAAATTACCTTTAAAAATAGAAATACTAAGATTCTCTGTTCATCTCCATGTCGCTTATAAAGCTAAAGTGAGACTGTGTAGAAAGTAAATTTATTAACCTAAGTCTTTATATTGGGTTTTTAAGTAGTTTCTGAAATAGTATTTTGTCCTCAAAGCCAGCAAGCTCCCTGCACATAAAGCACACTTGCACTTCTACTCACACCTGTGGCTCAAAGGGAGAAATCCTACTTGGGACACACTGTCCACCAACTGCCAAAGAGGCTGATCAGTGATCATTCTGTTGAAGCAAGGAACCAAGAGAAGACATGGTTTTGTCCAGCATCTCTTGCTGCTATGGACACTAAGTATTATGTATGACAATCTTTACAACATGGAAATGTCCCACAAAAAAAGCAAATAGCATAGTTACAAGAAAATGGACTAAATAAATTTCATGATGGCATCTTAGATGCCACTATATTGTCACATACAGTAGTTTCAGGGTATCTGCAGAGATTGCACAACTCCCTTATATAAAATGACATAGTGTTTACATATAAATGATGCTATCTCCCTGTATACTTTAGTGACCTCTAGAATATTTATACTACACCAAACACAGATAAATGCTAAATGCTTTATAAGCATGTATTATACTGTATTATGTTGGGACCAACAACAAGAAAAATCTATACATGTTCACATGTAGAAAGTCCTTTCCTGAATACTATGGGTCTACAATAGGAAGAGTCTACTGATACAGAATTGCCTAACGGGGACTGATGGCTAGAGGCCCAACTGTAGCTTCATTAAGACAGAAAACACAGCCGGGCGTTGGTGGCACACACCTTTAATCCCAGCACTCAGGAGGCAGAGGCAGGCGGATCTCGGTGAGTTCAAGGCCAGGCTGGACTGACAGCCTCCAAAACAATACAGAGAAACCTTGTCTCGTAAAACCAAAAAAAAAAAAAAAAAAAAAAAAAAAAAAAGACAGAAAACACTTATGAACATTGACTCACCCCAGTTTCCGAGAAAAGTTCTTCACTCTTACCTGCACAATAAATGTATAGCAACTCTGACTGAGGAGAAAGTGGAGGCCTAAGAGGCAGTGCCTTGGCAGACCACTATCTACCTAACCCAGCCAGATCAATATGGGACATGGGCTGCTTGAGGAGGTCCCTCTACTACCAAAGTGATGGTAGGTATCCATGGTCCGTGTCTGGTCTGAGTGACAAGCAATCTAGGTTTCTCTGGACATGCCAGGCTTAAGCTTTAAAAGCTGTATGGTCCTAATGAGACACTCACTCTTCCTGAGCTTGTCTCCTCACTTATAAATAAGAGACATAATGCTGCTCCTACCATCCACTAAAGACCGCCATAAGGACAGAGAAGGCAGGAGGAAGCATTGTGTACAAACTGTTGTAGGAATGAAAAGATCAGGTAGCGGGGCCTAGAGAATTGGTTCCGTGGTTAGGAGCACCGGCTGAGCTTCCAGAGGACCGAATTTTATTTTCCAACAACTATATAGTAGCTAACAACCACCTCTAAGTCTAGTTCCAGGGGACTCTGACACCCCCTTTCTGCTCTGCTGGTACCACGTATGCCTATAGTACACAGACACACATGCAGGCAAAACACCAGTAACACATAGATTTAAAAAAATGTTTAAAAAGCAAAGCAAAGCAGGGAAGAGACAAGGACTGAGGCCAGAGGCATGATGGGTCTGCATGCTTATAGGCCCTTCTCACTCAGAGGTCTGAGATGACTTTCTTTCTAGCTCTCACCTCCTGACGGGGATGCAGAGCACTGGACCATCTGCCCATAGCAGTCAGGACTCCAGGGAATACTCATGATGGCTGCACATACTAGCCAGGGACAGCTAGGAGTTATTTCTGAGTACAATGCTTATGCCACTCCTTCAGACGGGGTGGTCCTTGAAGCAGACAAACCGACTGCTCTGCAAGTGAGATCTTAGGATAAAGTAAGAATCATGTCTGTTTGTCCATGTCAATAAACAGCCTCCCATGTAGCCAGAGTTTTCAATGGATAAAAATTTTACATATCTACCAAATTATTTTTACCCTCAATGTGCTAGGGTCACAGTGTGTACCCCTGCACCCACATATTTCCTCAAATGCCTTTTGATTTTGTTTGTGTCTCAGTGTTAAGGACCAAACCCAGGGGCTTCTACATCCTAAGCAAGTATTCTTCCACTCCACTATGTCCCGACCCTTGGCCTCATCTACAGTCAGCTGACTAAAATCCTGAGAGGCCTTTTGGTCTTAGAGAAGCCAACAGAATAAAGGTAGAAGCAGAGGGAGGAGGAGCCAGTGCGTGCATGGGTTTCCTCATTCCCAGTGTCACTGAGCTGACTTCAGAGATGCCAATTTCGCACGAAGGCACTGTAAAACCACATTCTTTGATAGAACTCGTAAATGAGTGTATCAGTATAGGACATTTAATCATATTTGGATGACTTTGGGCAGGCATAGTTTTGAGACAAAGGATATGAGGTATTACAGATTGGCAGATTACAAAGCCAAAAGAAACACAGAACAGAAACATTTTTTTCCTTCAAAATAATTTAAAATTTTGCTGGGCACCAAATTGTGGTAAAAATTTCTCACACTGAATTATACTTGTACAACTAAGAAGTAGGTACATACCCTTGTGAAGCCAGCAGCAATGAAGGGCATTAAAGACACCTCCTCTTTGTCCCCCCTTCAAAGGAAGATGGTAAGGTTAGGTAGTATTCACTAACTTACGTAATCTTCAATGGTCACACAGCAAGTACCTTCAAATGAATTAGTAAATGCATATGAAATTGACAAGCCTTTCCTGTTTCAATGTCATCTTGAGCCTTCTGGCAAGGTATTATTGTAATTTGTTTGGGGCAATAGGGGTTTGCTGTGTTACTCAGGCTGGCCTCAAACTCCTAAGCTCAAGCGATCAATTCTTTTTCCTGGACCTCCTGAGTACTGGGCTCCAGGTACCTGGCACTGCACCAGGTATTTTAATACTTCAAATATGAAGGTTATATTAACAACTGAATAGTGTCCAGGCATCTACTTAATATATAAACGTATATATATTTAAATTATTAAGTTCTCTTATCTTCTACTTCTAGAAGATTAAATGGCACAGAGGCATCTCTGTCTTTACTGATATAAACAGCATTTATTTATTTAATATTTGCTCTCCTCCTTGTATGTCCTCTCCTCCTTGCTCTAACTTGAGAAGATGCCCTGCATTTGGATGTCACCCAGATCCTCACAGATACCCAAACTAAAGGCCCTAGGAAGACACACATGAAAACCTTCACCCTAAGAGAATGGGATTTTCTTATAGTCGGCCTGGAAAGAGCAGTTCAAAGTCAGAACAGTAAACCCAAGGGGGCAGAGCTCCCTCCCTGAGGTCAAGCAAAGAAAAATAAAATGCTAAGGGGTAAAGAGGGCCAGACTTCAAAGGGTTCTCCAGTCACAAGCAAGCCCTTTATTTTATCATATGTTAATAACATTACATTGACACCTGAATTTCAACATTAAAAAAAGGTTTACCTGCGAACTACACCAACAATAACTGTGTTTTCTGAGAGTTTTGATGATCTGATAGACCTTTAAAAAACAAAAAGTTAAATATAAATATACTTTCTTAGCTTTAGTTGTACAGTTACAGTTGGGGAGGGAAACGAGAGGGGAAGAGCTCCCTTCACATTCTGGACCCACCGTGGCTACTGGATCTTCCCTTGGTGATAAACTCCTCATCAGTGGACTGTGATAGCCATGGCAATTATCATGTGCAAATGAAACAGCTAAGGTGACATACTTCACGCATGTACCTAGGTTAGTGGGGGGGGGGCATCCCTGACACTGTGCTTACATGAAAGGGGCCACAATGACTTGTCTCTTCCAGTGGAAGGAAATGCAAGTGTTTGAGCATCTCCACAGGCTCCCGCCTATGTAGACTATGGGGATCGGGACAACCAGGAGCCAGCTTGTCACTGCATTTTAAGCAGCACAAAGAATAAACAATTCTGAGATAAACTGTAGGCAAAAGTCACACCACCACAAATCAAAGACTAGGAAATACAAGAGACTTTATCAGTCACAATGAAAAGTCATACCTGTGGTCAAAGGTTAAGGTGGTGGTTTAGTGGGGAAACGTAGAAGACACTGCTCCACTGACAATACCCAAGGAGTGTGAGGCCCTCCACCCAACAGGAACACAAGCCTTAGGGGAAGCAGCTATATGGACCATGCATGAGTGATGACAATATAGCCAAGAGGTCAGAGGGAAGACACACACGAGATGCGGAGTAGCCCAGAAAGGAAAGGAACACTCTGCTGGAGGTGTACAGCAGCTCTGAACTCAGCTTCCACGAGAAGGTGGAGCTGTCTGAGAAGAACCAGCTACTGGAGGAAGAGGGGCTGTAGACGGGAGTGGCCTTATGTAGACTATCCTAGTCTATACAAGGGAGAGCTATGCTAGCCTCTTGGAGGTCCAGAGAGTAGCCAAAACGGACCACGTGACTTAAGCTCTATTAGCAAAATAAATAAACAGAGACACTTCTGAATCACAGAACACAAAAGTGATTTGAGTGGCCAATTCCCAATTCCCCCAGAGATGGTACATAACACAACTACTCTAGATCTCTATGAGAGAATTATCATATACAGGGGGTGCCTTGGTCCTGGCAGACTTTTCTGTAAAGAGTCAGAGAGTAACTATTTTAAGACTTAAATATCCATGTGGATTCTATCCCAATTACCTACTGGTGATGATTTACTTTAATTGTCAACTTGACACAACCCATAATATCCTGGAAACAGTCTCACTGAGGGATTGTTGGCACTGTGTTGGCCTACAGACATGTCTGTAGGGGATTGTCTTACTTAAGTCACCTGATGTGGAAGATCAGCCCACTGTGAGTAGCACCATTCCCTAGGCAGGAAGTCCTGAACTGTGTCAAGAGTGGAGAAACTGTGCTGAGCACAATGCAAGCAAGTGAGCATGCATGTGTGCACACATTTCTCTCGGCTTCTGACTGCAGATGTAATATATCTAGCTGCCTCACATTCCTGTCACCTCTGCTTTCCCACAGTGACAGACCATAACACGAAATTATGAACTAAAATAAACCTTTCTCCTCTAAGTCACTATTTGTCAGGATATTTTATCACAGCAACAGAAATGAAACCAAAACATCATCACTACCCTTGGAGCACAAATGTGGTCACAGAATAGGCAAAATCTTTATCCTTTGCTCACCCTTACCTTGGAGCATGCAGACTGTAGGTTCCTGTGGATCTGAGGCTGAGAAAGGTTTAGGGTCTAAGGACAGACACAGAGTGATCCTCAAGGAGAGCTGCTTAGGAACGAAAAGCAGCACCAGGGCCCAGCTAATCTCTCTCATGGGCCCATAGCTCACCTCCCCACTCACCTGCCCTCTTCCCCATAGGAGCCAATCCAGAGGCCCTGCAGAGCTCTACTGGAAAAGACTTCCCAGACAGGGCTTGCTGGCTAGGTGTCCAACTCTGGTCTCCCTGCCCAGGGAAGAGCAGACTCAGTTTCTGGAGAGAAAGGCCAGCGGAGGATCACCCAAGCCTAGAAGGGTCATCGGTATAGCAGACCCTCATCTGCACATGGCCAGTGTGCTCTGGGAACTAATACTCACGCTGATTCTAATCTCCAGTGCTGAGGAAGGAGCATGGACTTGTGAATGCTGTTCCTGTGACTTTAAGGACACTGCATCTGCTCCTACATGTTTCCACCTCGCCTTTCATCATAAAAGGGATGGAGAATGAAGATGTGGGGGGAGCTATGCTTCCAGCCAGCCACTTCAAATAAGTTCTTAGTATTTTAGCAGTGATATAGTGGCAAGCAGGCAACTGTGAGAGTGATTATGCACTTGACTTTCTCTAATGAAAGGGACCACTGGCTAGAAATGGGAATGTCAGGAACAGAACCTGGCATAACAAACAATAGCCTAAAACCTTTGCTTTAGGATTCATGGAACTATGAAAGAAATGACTTGGCACAGTCAAAATACACATATGGACACTAGGAAGGCAGATTTCAAAGTCATGTGACTATAAAGACCAAGCAAACAGGGCTCTCAGAACTGTACTACCTTTGAATGCACATGATATAAAGCCCTACAGAACCGTGGTGTGTGTGTGAATACATATATATGTACGTTATAATATTCCTGTTTCCCACATGAAAGATATACAGAGAGACAGTTCAGAACTGTCATGGCACCCTGCATGACCAGGAATCTGAATTTTTCACTGTGTATTTCCCTATTATCTAACCAAGATTTCTTCTTTGTGGTCTAAGATTAAGTGAATATTAGGTATAATGTACACAATTCTAAATATGAGGAAAAACAGCATGCTCTCTCACATCAAGGATACTTTCCAGAAGATGCATAATTTTCAGTGGATAGCTGCAAGAAAAGCTAAAGAATGCAATGCACTTCTTAGGTGGTTACAGACCCTGTAGAGGATTTATTAGGTAAAGAACCAGAAATGTGTATCCGAGAAACAAAGAGTCTCTAGTCACATGAAACAACGCCAAATGATTCTGATGATGGCCTCAGCATTAACACTGAAAACAGATTACCTGGTGAAGGCTCACTGTAAGGACATAACAGAGTCTGTAAAGAGTTGCACACAGGTCTGTTCTACCTTGCTATGCCCTCTGTCATGGAGTGAGCTCCAGGTTAAAAAGAGGAGAACACAGTGGTGAAAGGGATCTTCAGACCAAGGTGAATCGAGAGATTGTATGAATGTGCCTGACTCTCTCAGTTCTCCTTTTCTGAGGGAGGTGCATGTGTCTATACTTGTGGGGTGTGTGCAGGCCCAGGCTGAGGTTGGCAGTCATTCTCAACCATTCCCCACCTTATTCACTGAGACAAGGTCTCTCTGTTGAACCTGGAGCTCACTGTTTTAGGCCCTCTGAGGCTGAACTCCAGCGGGGCCATGCACACCTGGCATTTACATGGTTTTGGGGACCTGAACTCTGGTTCTCACGCTCGCACAGTAAGCTCTGTACCTGCTAAGTTCAGGCTTGCTCTGTATGTATGTGGACTTAATCTGCTACAGCATGTCCAGTTTCTATCCAGGGCTTTCCTCTATCTCCCTTCTGTTATACAACTGTGCTCCTGTAGCACCAAGGAGTATTTCTTACCTCTTCTGAGTACCCCAAACTTACATCTTCTAAAATGTTCTGCAGTTTCTCACAAAAGAATAGTTAGAGTTAGGGAGATGGCTCAGTTGGAAAAATGCTAACCTCAAAAAAAAAAAAAAAGAGTAGCTAAGCTCAGACCTTCAGCACCCATGTAAAAGCCAGGAGTGCATGTCTGTAGCTCCAGTGCTTGGGGCAGGAGGAGTACGGAGTTCAATGGCCAGCTCTAGGCTCAGTGAGAGACCGTCTTAAAAAATAAGGTAGACAATGACTAAGTACGATCCCCATGTCAAACTCCAGCCCCCGCATGCATGCACACCTTCACATAGAAGCATGTCCACGCAACACCCCCTACACACACTTTTCTCCCCTCAGTCATTAGTGCTATTGTTTCCTTGCCATTATGCTGAGGCAACTCTTACAACCTGCCACACACCCTTCTTTATCCTGTCACTCACTCTTCAATGGAAGTTATTTCTCTCCAGGCTGCTGACACAGAGCCATCAGTTTTCTTAGCTTGCAGAGGGCATCTGGCCTGCTCTTTCTAGCTCTCAAACCAAACCCGGAAATCAATCGTGGTTTGCTGTTCTGCAACTGCACCATGTGAAACACTGTTTCAGTCTGCTTGTTTTCTTGTATTCCTTCTCTCCCTTCTTAGAGCATAGTGGGAAAACCACAGCTGACCAGCATGCCTTGGGTTTCTAGGCAGCTGAGGAATATAAGGACCCAAGGAACATCAGAAACTGGAACCCAAGCCCTTGGCAAGGTCACAGAAGCCCCACCACTCACCAGGGCAAAGCCATCTGTTTCTATGATAAATACAACTCAGCATCCCAGGATTAGCAGACAGCAATGGGACAGAATCAAAGCCCCTTCTCACCACCTTCCTTGATTGGCACTTGAGCTGTGGAGACTAGCGCATGCTGGGCACAGCTTAGAAATAGCTCTTGACTAGTCCCTACAGTGTAGCAGAGACAGTTAGAGGCTCACTATGCAGCTTAGACTGGCCTCAAAACTCTGATCGTCTGCCTCTATCTTCTAAGTAGAGGATTAGAGGCATGCCCAGTGTCTTAACTACCCAGAGGAGAGTAAGAGATGCTCAAAAAAGAGCCTTTGCATCTGGCTCTTATCTGCTGTCCCTGCCTCCCTTGAACCACACACTCAACTGTTGGACCAATAGCCATGGACACTGAGCAGAGGAGCCTAGACACCCTGCTGCTCCTACTTACGCTGTCCTCTCTCTGCCTTTATTCTTTCCAAAACTTCTGCCCACCCCTCACTATTCAACTCAAGCATCTCGGAAGACCTCCTCTCCTTTCTGCCTCCTGCCTCTGCATGGCCTGACTGTGTGCCCTCCACAGTTTATGTTTTGCCAATGTGATAGCACCAAGAAGCAGGGTCTTAAGAACTTAGACCATGCAGGCTGCTCTCCAGTGACTGAGATGGAAGTCTTTATAAAGGAGACTCCACAAAGCCATCTGTTACTGCAGAGGATGCAGACAGACAAATGGACCTGCCAGCACCTTTAGCTTGGTTTTCTCAGTCACAGAACTATGAGAAAATTAATTTTTCCTTTGTTGCTGCTGTTAATACTTATTTAATTTTATTATTTATGTGTATATGTGTGTGTCTTGTGAGTATTGACATGTATGTGTGGGTGACAGGAGAGGCCAGGAGAGGGGCTGAGAGCCCCAACCCCATCCCCTAGCTGAAGTTACAGGGAGTCAGCTGGGTACAGTGACATGAGCCTTCAGTCTCAGCACTTGGAAGGCAGAGACAAGCGGATCAATGTGAGCTCAAGACTACTACATGAATTCAAACTCAGATCATCTACACAGTGAGTTCCAGGACAGCCAGAGCTACAAAGTGAGATGCAGTCTCAAAAAAAGAAAAAAAAAAGTTCCAGGCAGTTGTGAGCCATCTGATGTGGGTACTGGTACTGAGAATTGGATTCGGATCCTCTAGAAGAGCAGCAGGCGCTCTTAGCCACTGAGCCATCTCTCCAGCCCCCTAATTTTTGTTCTTTATAATTTACCTAGTCTCAAACTTTATGTTATAGCCACATGGCTACATGAAACAAAGATATTCTACGTATTAGTCACTTTTCTTGTGCTATGACCAATTAGCAATTTAATTGGTTGCAAGGAAAAGATTTATTTTTGCTCATGGTTCAAAAGATACAGTCCACCACGGTGGGGAAGGCCGGTGGCAGGAGCAGCTCATAGCTGTGGCAAAGGGAACTTACATCTCAGCACATCAGGAACAGAGAGAGCAGGAGGTCTAGAGCTCAGTGGCGCTTTCCTTTTCCTTTAGTCCAGGACCCACATTCACTGTGTGTCTTACCTCTATAGACATGCCCAAACAGACAGTCACAGAAGTATCTCACTAATGCCTTCAGCATGTCTTAATCTGGTCAGGCTGACAATCTGAAGTGTTAACCATCGCACTCTACAACTAAAGCATTGTCCCTGGAGGCAAGCGGCACATTTTGTTCATTTATACTGCTGTAGAACCACATGCAGTGCCTAAAACTGAGAGTTGCAGAATTAAGGCTCTGAAACAGGAGGATTTGGAAAGGCAATAAAGCATTTGGCCTTCAAGACAGTATTTCACAGGGGTACAAGGAGTTCTAAATGCCCAGTAAAGAGCTACAGATGAATGATGGTAATTTGGATAGATCAGCAACTGATGAAAAGCTTTTCACAGGTGGCTATTGCTTAGGTAACCCCTAAAAGGAGGACAAAGGGAAGAACAGTGTTGGGTCGGGCTAAGGTCTCATGGGCTGCAAAGGTCTACCGAGAGCAAGGAAAGTCAGTTAAGGAATGAGATACTGGAGAAATTTCTTGATGAAACAGTTCACACTAGGCAGATGCCTCTGTAGAGATGATCTTAAAGAGACAAACCAGCTCAATGCTGAGGCCAAGATGGAGCTGAGCTGAGAAACAATCAAGGCCTACTCCTGTCTCTAGGAAACTCATGAGGGCGACACAAAGACCCACCCCACCCCAAACTCTCACCCCACAAGATGAAGATGAAGTGGTAGGAAGGAGCAAGAAGAAAGACCTGAGATCCAGGGTCTACCAGGAAGAGAATATCAGGAACCTTGTTTGTAAAGGTCTGCTCTTCACTGGCCAGCCAAGCCTACTGTGTACTGTTTAATTCTGGAGCCACAGGAGCTACCAGGTAGTTAGGAAGAGAGTCAGTTCTTAGAGGGCTTGTCATATAGGCATGAGGACCCAGGTTTGAATGCCCACTACCCAAGTAAAATCCTGGCATGGCAGCATGCATCCATGAACCCAGGGCTTAGGGAAGGTACAAACAGGCAGATCCCCAGAACTTATTGGCCTGCCAACCTAGCTGAAAAGATGAGATTCAGGTCCAGGGAGAGCTCCTGTCTCCAAACAAACAAATAAACCTGAAGGGTGGTTGAAGAGGACACCTATATTGGCCTCTGAACTTTACATATGGGCACACACCCACATGAAGACATAAAGGGCTCTTTAAAAATAGGCTAGGAAATTATAATCATCTGTGTTTCAGTAATATGCAAATGAAAATTGGGATTAATTAAATATTGGGTTTCATCTTAATCATAATGGTTGTTATTATATTTTCTTACTACTGTTTCTTTGTTTTGATTTTTTGTGGTGTTTGAGAACAAGCCCAAGGCTTTGTGCATGCTAGACAATCTCTTACTGTTTTAAATAAAGCAAGAAAGACAAACAAGAAGTAAAGATTAGTACTAGAAACAATGAGGCTATAATGCCTTGTTTTCTTTGCATATAAGGAAACTGAGATGGAATTTAACTTAATATGTCTGCAGGCTGCATTTATTGTCACAAGGGCCAATGGGCTTACCTGCACAGTGCTTCTGCATCCAGCTGTCGGGGATTTCTATGGTCTATGATGATGATGTCATGGAGTTTGTCCTGGAAACAGGTAAGGACAGCCTGCACTTCCTTGATGACTGTGCACTTAAACCCGGCCTTTTCACATGCCCCGTAGAATCCATTGCATTGGCTGTCTTCTTTGGTAAACACTAAAAGTACCTGGACCAAAAGAGGACAAACACTTTTAAAAAAACTTGTTAGAACTGTCATTTTTAAATAAGCCACAGAAAATTCTCAAATGCTTAGGTGAAGACACAAGATGTGAATGTAGCATCCATAAATACACATTCTTTTCTTACATATAACTCAGGGATATTAACATTCGTTGTCCATGAGTCAATGCTACTTTCTAACCTGGAAGTCCAAGTGCTTAGGAAATATGATTATTTCTTTTGCTGATAACCCTATTGATAAGATGCAATACGGACTCAACAGAACATTTTATTTTAAAATAGAATCAAAACACACAAATATTGAAGTTCACAAACAGACAGTTAACTAAGTATGGCAATGCTGGTATTCTAGTGAAATGCCCCAGATAGTAAATGCTAGCTAGCACTTAGTGAGACTTAGTTGAAACACATAACCCTTAAATGATATACTTGACATGCGTTGACTCAAATTTTATGTAATGCCAACAAGTTAAAAGTCATTCTGAATATGAGGGAGAAGATTTGAAAACTACAACACTGTATTTTAAAGCCTGCTGGGTAAGTGACATGGGTACACAGCCCAGACAATGTAGGTAGCATCTGTGCCAATGCCAGGCCAATAACTGGTTGTCTTGGTGCCTGGTCTATACCACATAAATCCTAGACCTGCTGCCTTCTCCCTATCCAACCAGGCCTCCCAGCCAAATCAAGTTCAAAATACCTCTGCTTAATTGCTTAATCCTTTCAGAGCTAGACTCAAGAAACTATAGAGGCTATGTGGTAATGAGCAGCCCGGTAGACAGAGGTTGACTACGAAACTCAAAGAAATCCTTTACCTCCTTGAAAGTTTGCCCAACTGGTCAAATACCACAAATACAAAGAATCAAGAACACAAACCCCTGTCTGCCGCGTTTGTTCACAGAGTTAAAATACAATAGCAAACATAGTTCATATGCAGGAAGCTTCAAACAACTTGACTACATCTTGTCACTTTTTTTTTCTTTCTTTCTTTCTTTTTTTGGTTTTTACGAGGCAGGGTTTCTCTGTATTGTTTTGGAGGCTGTCGGTGCAGCCTGGCCTCAAACTCACAGAGATCCGCCTGCCTCTGCCTCCCGAGTGCTGGGTTTAAGGCGTGCGCCACCACCGCCCAGCTCATCTTGTCACTTTTTAAAGACTTGTTTATTTCTTATTTTATGGGTACAGGTGTTTTGCCTGCATGTGCGTATGTATGTGTGCCACATGTGTAAAGTTAAGTTCCCATGGAGCTCCTGAAGACAGTGTCAGATCCCGTGGCACTAGAGTTACAGACCACTGCAAGCTACCATGTGTGCCCTTGGAACTCTCTGCGAGAGCAACAGGTACTCTTAACCACTAAGCCATCTCTGTAGCCCCTTGATGCCAACATAGGCTACATGAGGCCTTGTCCCCAAAATAAAAACAAACCTGGTATAATAGAAAAGGCTAAGTTTTTAACTTTTCACTTTGGAAAAATTCAAACTTACAGAGAAATTGTGAATGATAATGCCTTAAAAATTCTTCCCCTAGATTAATCAGCCCTTAGTCTTTTGCCACTTTGGTTTTGCATCCTCCCAATATATGTACACATATGAGTGTACGCACGATTACATACACTCCCCATTACTGAAACCCTAAACATGTGAGTGTATGCACAATGATATCACTCCCCATTACTGAAACCCTAAACATGTAAGGGTACCCACAATTACATACACTCCTCATTACTACAACCCTAAACATCTGAGGGTACCCACAATTACATACACTCCCTAAGTTTTAACCTCAGCATGTATTCATAAGGAAAGGTTGTAACATTGTTACTAAGTCCAAGAAATTTAACCATGACCTAGTGCTAGTAGCTAAACAGAATAACATATATTTTAAATGTACAGTTTTAAACAACCTCTTCATTAAAGAAATTTGCAATATGTTCATTCCAGCACAGTACCTGAAGTTGGTCTTGATGAAATCTCATTGGACCAAATTGCACATCAGTTACTGATACCTGTAAGAAAGAGATTTGAAAAGGTAAAATATGTACCCCCAAATTTACATAAATATTAGGTAAGTAAGGGGAATTGCAAGCACACACTTTAAACCCCCAGGAGAAGAGACTAGGAAGGAAGAATGAAAATGTGCTGATCTCAGGGTGGCTGTCTGTTGCTAGCTTTGTATAACTCTAAGAGGGTTACTCCCCCTTCCTCAGCCACGGCTTCTCATTTGTTACAAAGATCACTTAAGACTATAATACAAAGATCCTCCCAAAGAGGAGACACTAAATAAACACTGGCAGTCCCTGTCCATTATCTCCACCTTTTCCTGATGGATAACAAAATCTTATATCCAAAATGACACATGAATAACGCAACCTAGCAGTCAGAACAATGGATGTATGTCAGAGAAACTTCTCTGAGAAACAGTTGACACTTGCTTTTACAGAGGAGCGTAACAGCCTTGGTCAGCACATGCTTAACCATAGGAGAAGCTGACATTAAACACTTGACACTAGTACATACAGAATGCAGGCTGGAGGATAGACAGTTCTGCTAGCAAAGTGCTTGCTGCAAAAGACAAGAAGAAGTGAACCTGAGATCTTCAGCAACTGCCTAAAAAGCTGGATGTGTCTGCGTGCGCCTGCAATACCAGCACTGGGGAGATGGAGACAGGCAGATGCTGGGGCTCACTGGCCAGCCAGTTTAGCCGAATCAATGTACTCTAGGTACACTGAACCACTGCTTCAAAAAATAAGGTGGAGGACTGGCGAGAGGTCAGCGGGTGACGGGATTTGCCATGGAAGCCTGAAAGTCTAAGTTTGATCCTGAATCCACATAAAGGTAGTCCTAACCTCTACACGTGAAGTGTGATTGCATTCTCTCTCTCTCTCTCTCTCTCTCTCTCTCTCTCTCTCTCTCTCTCTCTCTCTCTCTCTCTCTCTCTCTCTCTCTCTCTCTCTCTCTCCCTCTCCCCCCACAGTACTAGTCTTCTAGAAGAATATATATATATACTGTACTTGATTTCTGTTCTGAAAAAAGAGACAAAGCCTAGTCTAGAGAAAGAGACTGACTTTGGAATCTAAGATCCCATGTGCTAAACAGATTCCTACCTTAAGCCCTGGGAGATGGTGTGGTTCCACATCTAGAATAACAACCCTAGAACTAGATACTTTCTATAAAGTACCTCCTGCTAATCTCTTTTCTCAAGCTGTAAACTAAAACTAAGGACAAAAATGTAATAAAATGTGCTTCAGTAACCCACACATAATTTTAACTAGGAAAAGTGATTGTCTGGCTAGTTTTATACAAGCCAGGTCATTTGGAAAGAGGGGATCCCAGTTGAGGAAAGTCTAAATTAGTAACTGAGAAGGCCCAGCCCATTGTGATCCTTGGTGCTTTAAGAAAGCAGGCTAAACTGGGCGTTGGTGGCGCACACCGTTAATCCCAGCACTCAGGAGGCAGAGGCAGGAGGATCTCTGTGAGTTCGGGGCAGGGCTAGACTGACAGCATCCAAAACAATACAGAGAAACCCTGTCTCATAAAACCAAAAAAAGAAAGAAAGAAAGAAAGAAAGAAAGAAAGAAAGAAAGAAAGAAAAAAGAAAGCAGGCTAAGCAAGCCATGAGGGAGCAAGCCAGTAAGCAGTGCTCGTCCATGGCTTCTCACTGTGGGACATCGTGGTAAGGGTGCACATAAATGGATGCTAAAACCAGGATTTTTTTAAAAAGAGAATATGGTTCAGCACAACCTAAACGACAGACCTAGGGGAAGTGAAAAGCAGCGGGACGCTCTCTACCTAAGCATGCTGTACTGGGAAATGAGTCTGAGATAACTCTTGAGACACACAGGAAACATGGTTCCCTTCAGTCAGTTTCCACTCTTTGTGCCAGCCCACCAGGTAACTCCATGCGGGTAGTGTGCACAGGTTCCCAGATCAATCTAGACATGAACATCAGGATAGAGCATGGTCATGCAGGCCTACTCCCTCCAAACCTCAGAAATTGGTGTTCCAATCACAACTGTTGCTTATTGTCATTGACTTCTGACCAAGAAGCAGGTGGCAGTAAAAACAGTGTTGAGGGGAAATTCATTCATGTTAAGAGTCACAACGGGGCTGGGGAGATGCCACGGCGGTCAAGAGCATATACTACTCTTTCAGAGGACTGAATTTGGTTCTCAGCACCCGTGTCAGGCAGCTCACAACTGCCTGTGACTCCGGCTCCAGGGGACCTGCAGTCTCTGGCTTCGATGGGCACGCAAATATACTCTAGGCCAGTGACAGAGCCTGCTTCATAAGGTAAGATGTCAGTGGGTCAAGGCACTTAGCACACAAGTCTGGTGACTGAGTCTGAGCCTCTGAACTCACATAAAGGCGGAAGGAGAAAGACGAGGTCTGCTTGACTACTCCACGCAGCAGTTCTTGGACAGGTGAATGCCTGCCACCACCCATGTATGCATGCCCCACACACAAATAGTGAATGAAAACTGCAACAACAGCAGGGAAAAAGGCTGAGGTGGAAAGCTCCAGAAGAGTGACAATGAGGTTAACCTCTGGCTTCCACATGAATGCCCCCCCCACGATGATACACCATTAGCCAAGTAAGTTATTTCTGGGATATGATGATGATTCAATGTATGAAAATCAGCAAATACAAATACTGATAACAGAGTGGAGGAAAAACATCACATGATGATTTCAACTGATCAGATGAAAACATTTGACAAAATTCTAAATAAACATCCTTTCAAGACAAAAAAAAATGGCCAAAGAGGAGCAAAAGAGAGCTACCTAGACATAATAAACTCAGAGCAAACATACCCATTGGGGAAAGAATGGAAATGGTTCCTCTAAAGTTAGGGACAAGGGGAGAGGCCTGCTTCACCACTTCCAGCACAGTCACTGGAGTTCTAGACAAAACAATTAGACAAGGAAATAAATGAGGCATTCAAAGTAAAAAAGGAGTAAAGCTATCTTTACTCATGGATAATACAACCTTAAATGACAAAAACCCTAAGGATCCTACAAGAAAACTGCTAGGACTAATAAATGGGTTCAGCAGGACACAAGTTACAGAAATCACATCTATTTCTATACTTAGTAATCTAAACGGAATTTGAAAAGAATGCACGTGATAGAGTAGCAAAAACAAATTATTCAGCTGAGGCTATGGCTCAGTCAGGAAAGTGCTGTCTGTGCATGAATGAGGGCCCGAGTTTGGATCTCCGACACCAATGGAAAGTTGGGCACAGTAGTGTGTGTGTTGATAACCCAAGTACTGGGTGGGGATGGAGAGACAAGCGTATCCTAGGGGCTTAACCGAAACAGTGAGCTCCAGGTTCAGGGAGACTGTTTTAAAAAAAAAAAGTAGAAAGGCTGGGTGTGGTGGCACACACCTTTAATCAATCCCAGCACTTGGGAGTCAGAGGCAAACAAATCTTTATGAGTTTGTGAGTTTGAATCTTTATGTGTAGGCCAGCCTGGTCTACACAGTGAGACTATGTCTCAACAAACACAACAATGATGATGACAATGGTGAGGAGGAGGAGGAGGAGGAGGAGGAGGAGGAGGAGGAGGAGGAGGAGGAGGAAGAGGTGAAAAGTGAGAAAGCTGGGACCTCTGTCTTCACACATGCACACACACATCGTATACACCATGCATGCATGCCACATACACAGCAAATTTTTTAATTAAATGAAAGCACATCTCATGTTTATGGAGTACAAGACTCACTGAGATGCCAATGCTACCTAAAGCAGTCTACACACCCACAGGAGTCCTTACTAAAACCCCAATGCTTTTCTTTTGTTCTTGGCAGGAACAGCAATGTACATTCTAGAACTTACATGGAGACTCAGGGGATCTCTAATAGTCAAAACAATGCTGAAAGACTCACAATTCCCAATTTTCAAAACTTAATAAAAGACTGCAGCAATCAAAGCAATGTGGTGCTGGCATAGACAGAGAGAGACGGAAATGAACAGAGGTTAGAGAGCAATTCAACAATGCTGAGTCGACTCAGTGGCGGAAAAGGCAGTCTTTTCAACAAATGACCAGGGGAAAACTGGACACTCAGACAGAAATAATGAAACTGGATGTTCATCTAGTGCCATAGTAAAAACCTGACAAAATTAAGGATGTGTAAGTGTAATACATAAAATATAAAACTCACAGAAGAAAACAGAGTGAAAGCATTCAATACTGGATTTGGCGATAATTTCTTAAATATGACACTAATGGCGCATGCAACAAAAAATCATCAAAATGTTGTACATCAAGAGACACTATTAGTAGAGTAAAAAGGCAACTAACATAAGGAGAGAAAATGTACACAAATCACATATTTGGTAAGAAATTGAGGCCCAGAGCATATGGAACACATCAATTCAACAGACAACGGGATTAAATGCCCTCTTCTGACCTAAGCAGGCACCAAACACACACACATGAAATAAAATGAATAAATCTAATAAAAACTTATTTAGAAAAGGGCAAAGGGTTCATATAGACATTTCTCAAGGAAGACACACAAATAAGAAACACAAAGATGTTCAATATCACCAAACATTTTTAAAATGTAAATTTTTAGTTTGTTTTTGTTTTTTGAGACAATAGTTTCTCTGTGTAGCCCTAGCTGTCCTGGAACTCGCTTTGTAGACCAGGCTAACCTTGAACTCACAGAGATCTACCTGCCTCTGCCTCCCAAACTGTTGGCTTAAAGGTGTGCACCACCACCACCTGGCCAAAACAAATTTTTAATTTTTTTCATTAATTTACTTTTTACATTCCAATCCCAGTTCCCCCTCCCTCCTCTCTTCCTGATCCTCCCACTCCCCACCCCACCTCCCATCTGCTCCTTGGAGAGGGTAAGGCCTCCCCTAGGAAGTCTACTAAGTCTGTCCATCATCTCATAAAACATAACAATTTTAATAGAGATGACATAGTGATTAAAAACACTTAGTCCTGAAAACAGCTTGGTATTGGCACAAAAATAGAAAGGTAGACCAATGGAACG